AAGGAGACTGTGGCACTTTGTAATATTTACCAAACCCTGTAGCGTGTAATTACATTCCGTTTGTGGTCAGTGTGGTAATTACTACTATTTGGATGCAGACTCCAGGGAGAAGGCATCATTTTTCTGTGTGGAGACTGAACTGTAAGCTTCTAGATCATGGTCATCGCAAAGTAGTAGTTGAAATTAAAGTTCTTTGACTAATAAAACAAGTTTGACTGTCCACATCCTCAATTCACGAGTGCTTTGACCATGTTTGGTAGCAGTTCGCAATAATAACATATCCTCCATTGTCCTGACTATACACATCCTCCATTTACTAAACATTGATAGTCCTGGGTATTAATATCTCCATTAGAATCAAGAATCAAGAATCAAGAATGTTTATTGTACAGAACAGACCTTGTAGGGCAGGGTACAAACTATCTACATTTGGGAATAAATATAACTATCAACATGAGAGTTACATATACATAATGTACATTATATATGGAGATACTACATATTATTTTCATTCACGGTATATTAACATTTATATATATCATGAGGTGGCTGGCAGCGTACACTTAGTGAAGATCCTGTATTGATAAGTCACAATAGTTGTAGTGAAGATTTAACATTGTTTCTTTTAATAAACATGTGAGAGATAATTTGTGTAACATATTTTGCATTTTCAGAATAGGGGTTCAAGATACTTGCAAAATATTTACTATCATTTTGGCAGTTTATTAAGTCCAGTGTTTGAAGAAGTACCTGTCTTTCATAGCTATAATTCTGACAGTACAAAAGGAAGTGCTTTTCATCTTCTATCTTGATTAAGTTACATATTTTGCATATTCTCTGTGCAACAGTCGTGTTACTGTATCTGCCTCTTTCAATCTTTACATTTTACAGCTGAAACATACTCCTTATGTTATGATTATTGTACCCTGCACCTATTTGCCACCAAACCTTCATTTCAGAAGCAACATCATCATTTCAGTCTGTCTCAGTTTGTCTCAGAACTTCTCTCACTTATGACTATCATTTTATTGGGTGGATATTTTTAGTGTCAAGTAATTTGAATGGTGCTCAATAGTGAATCTATTGTATCAGGGGCAGTCAGGTAGCCTAGTGGTTAGAGCATTAGCTTGTCATGCTGATGACCCGGGTTCGATTCCCGACATGGGTACACTTTATGTGTGAAGGCCATTTCTGGTGTCCCCCCGCCGTGATATTGCTGGAATATTGCTAAAAGTGGCGTAAAACCATACTCACTCACTCACTCTATTGTAGCAATTGAATCCAGGCTATTTATATAGCAAAATATTATAACCTGATTAATTCAGGATGCCTGAACTAGAACTGTCACCACGGCAGGTTCCTCATTGCTCATCAAGGTCCAGTGATGTTCCCAAAACTATTCCATTAACAAGGAGAAGAATCTTGTTTTGTAATTAAACGTTCATATGGGTGATAAAAACATTTCTCACTCAAACTGGCTTCTACAGGAGATATCACTTGGGTGAAATCAAGCGATATCAGAGATGTAGGAGATGTCGTCACAATAAATTGCATCACAATGCTTTGCAGACTATCACCATGACATCTCTCATGTCTTTGCCATTGAACCTGGATAGCTTTGTTTTTTTACACTTAAGACTGGTTATTACTGTTAACAAACTGAGAAAGGTTTTTGATGATGAATATGATCTCACCCTCGTGTCCTTTGATATCAAATACTATGTTGATATATTTCATATCACATGACACTGGTGAGATTCTCTATTTGAAGAAATTATCTCTAATTATCTGAAGGATATATGTTAACATTTTGGACAGACTGCTAACTGGTGATTTGATTCTCTTCCTGTAGGATATAATGTCCTCTGAATTATGTTGAAAATGGCGTGTCTGATCAGTTGTTCAAACTATGTATTAATTTCCCTGGTGTGTGGCTCGGAAAGGTGGTTTGACCACTGTTAGCACTGTGTGAACTGCCTTGTATTGTTGTCAGCTGGTTGTTGGTAATTAAGCCAGTACACTTTCACGCTGATTAATTAGTGATTGGGAGTATTTGTATGACAAGGAAGTGAAGGCCACTGGCTTGAACAAGGACACATATAACCAAGTGTTATCAAAAGCAGAATTTGTATTCATTGGAAATATTCATGTAAAATGATTGAAATCTTTTCCTCCAGTAAATTTTTGTGTCTTCCTTGTTGAAAATGTTGGTGTAGCATTGTGTGGGTCTGCTATTCTGTTCCTTCAAAGGTTCGGGAGTTTTGGCAGAGGGCTGTTGGGTTCATGTATATTTATTGAAAAGATCCCAGCTGACAAAATCAGAGTTCATTCTTTCAGGAATTCTATTTATCCAGATTGTGTGGAGTGTATGGTGCAATTGAAACGTATCAGTGCAGAGGGTTATTGTGTTGGCTTCCATACAGCACACCACTTGGTTATGTTAAAATAGTTGTACAGTAGTTGTATCACGGCATTCATCTCTGAATAGAGTGCAGTTATTGAATTATGTATGAGCACAGTGTCAATAGACATACGTCATCTCAAAACACATTCACATTTAGAAGGAAGTAAGTTTAGATAAATGTGAAAGCATTATTTCCACAATGATAGCTGTTGTATTTGTATTTGTTTGTTAGGTGGCGTGAGATTCTTGTTATCCCCACTGGTACAATATGTGAGGCCAATTTCTGCTGTCCTACGCCCTGATGTTGCAGGAATTTAGGGACATGAAACCATACTCTCTCTCTCTCTCTCTCTCTCTCTCTCTCTCTCTCTCTCTCTCTCTCTCTCTCTCTCTCTCTCACTCACTCACTCACTCACTCACTCACTCACTCACATTTTCAGGCCACTGTAATATAGCGGAATATTCCTAACTTTGACATTAAGATACAACGCATGAACAAACTATCTTTTGACCTTCTGAGTCAGTCATGAAGTGATACACTCTTGGTCCAAATTCTATTGGTGTCTGGTTATAAAGATCATGATAATCTTCATGCTTCCGCACTGACAGACTTTCCAGACTGACCTCGTATGATCTTGTTTGGTTTGCTTGCGAATGGCCATGTTGTTTTTACTGTGCTAGTAAGAATAAACACCATCTTGGTTCACTGGTGGTCAGTGCGACCTCTTTTCACTTACATGTACATTGGTTAGGCCATAGTAAATTATTTTTTTCTTAATTGACTTCAATATTTTTTGCGGTTATTGAGACATAAATTAAACATGAAAAACGGTGTGCACACCAGTTAATAAACACAACCTGATAAGCACACAAAACATATTGAAGTCAATAAATAAATGTGTCAACAACAACAACTTCACAGACTGTTTATGTAATCATTAATTTACATTGTTCAGTGCAATAATGAAACACAAGTCCTGCCCATTTTATTATCAGCCAATCAAGAAACAGTACTCCTTTAGTGGACGCAGCCTAAATTATTTTCAGTTTATGCACACAAAAAATTGCTTAAGTAATCAAATGCCATGGAATCATTTACAATTTATTCAAGTTTTACATAATTATTTTGTCCCCAAGTCCCTACAAATGAAGAAAATGGCCATTTACTATTTCTCATTCTTTACCAGATGACATACACCATAAACATAGTCCATCCAGGCATTCTTCTTCATGTGAATCAAATCCTTCTACAGTTTATATATATACACACAGATGCTAGTTTGTTTATAAGTACATATTTACAAAATATATAGTCTCCTGCTTATTCACTCATATTTTTCCATTATTTTGATGTTTTGCAAAGTGGGCCAGAGCATAACACTACGCCCGTGAAGATCCGGGTTAGAATTGGTCTGTCTTTAGCAACCCATGGTTGTCCTAAGGGGTGACTATGCTTGTCATAAGAGGCGATTCAAGGGATCAGGTGGTCAGGCTCGCTGACTTGGTTAATGCATGTCATTGTATCCCAATTGAGTAGATAGGTGCTTATGATGCCAATCACTGGATTGTCTGGTCCAGACTTGATTATTTACAGACCACTGTCATTTAGCTGGAATATTGCTGACTGCGGAGTTAATTAGAAACAAAGAAAACAAATCTCATCAGTGCATTGTTTCAAATAGTTTAGGATGGTGTCGTCTATTGTTTATGATGTCAACAAGGATTTTATCTTGTCACTATCCTTCTAACAAAAGGTCAACTGAGCTGATTTGTCATAAAGTGTGCATCAAAGCTTTCCAACAGTCTCTATCCCCAAAGTCAGTAGGTTAAATGTAGAATAACTAGTAGCACGATTTACAACCGAGATGTATTCACAACAAATAAGACGACCTAGTCGTCTAAGGCACGGCGATTCGCTGTGCAGAGTTGAGTCCCTTGGGCACATAAGAAACCTATGATTGTGGGTTTGAATCCCGGTTCGCCCCGATTATGTTTCTGGGTTTGTCAGCACCATACCCATGCTCTTGGGTTTCACCGAAGTGGTAAATGTCTGAGACCTGCATCACTTCGGGCTTTCCTCCCACATTAAGCTGACACGCCGTGATATAACTGGAATACTGTTAAAAGCGGCGTTAAACCCAACTCACTCACTCACAACAAATAATAAAAACTCCCTCATGTCTCATTACCCCTTCAGACTCGGCTCATTATCCCCTCTGACTCGTCAACTACTAGACGACCCGTGAAGATCCGGGGTAGAATAGATCTTCAGCAACCCATGCTTGCTGTAAAAGGCTACTATGCTTGTCGTAAAAGGCGACTAATGGGATCGGGTGGTCAGGCTCGCTGACTTGGTTGATGCATGTCATCGATCCAACATTGCGAAGATCGATGCTCATGATGTCAATCACTGGATTGTCTGGTTCAGACTCGATTATTTACAGACTGTCGTCATATGGCTGGAATATTGCTGAGTGCGGCGTTAATCAACAAACCAAACCAAAACCAGCTACTAGACATTAGTGGACCAATTTTTAGAGATTGTGCATCTGTTTATCTAAATCCTCTTCATTCCTGATGTGTTTGTGTCCAACAGGTGCTGCCTTCATGAAGTTTTCTCATGTCACCAAAGAACTGGCATCCATGATGAAAAATTTGGTGAGTGTACATCTTGCATTAAACATTATTTGATTTTACATTACAATATAAGCTATTATTATATAATGTGAAAAGTTTTCTGCTTAGTCTTTGGCCTTGAAGCAGTCACATGTCATTTAACAAAAGAGCATACTGATTCCGAATCAGGTCTTTTAGTTTACGGTATTGACTTGAGTTTCTAAAAATAGCGTGGGAATTCCCAGAATTGGTATTGACCAAACCAAAGCCAATCAGATGTCTCCATTTGTCTGAACCTCCTAACGTTACTGTAGCCAACAGTTTAATATGTTGATTCTACTTTTTTTCTCTTCATTATATAATAAAACAATTATGGACTTAATATGAGGTCAATACCTGTATTTTGGGACCCAAGACTTAGTCCATATTGTTTTTCTCGGGTCCATAAAAACAGGTATTGCCTAAATTCATCAAATCTGATTCTGATTCCCCATCGTGTAAAAAGCCACATGATTCAGCTTCTTGGTCTTCCCAAGATAATAATGTTTTATATATTAAAGGTGCGTGCAAGACAAGTCAAGATTGACTCACCTCACTTTGATTTACCTTGCTCTGACTTTCCATCAGCAGACACAAAAATATGTTGTTTTGACGTGTGAACTCTTTATAATCAATTCTGAAAGTTTGTGTATGCCAAGAGACCTTCTGTCTCAGAATGAACAAGATCATTTATCTTGCAAAATCTGTACACCCTGCTTGTCATGCATGTAACTCAAAGACAGGTCAAAGATAGGAATAAGTGAGTGAGTATGGTTTTACGCCGCTTTTAGCAATATTCCAGCAATATCATGGCGGGGGACACCAGAAATGGGCTTCACGCATTGTACCCATGTTGGGAATCGAACCTGGGTATTCAGCATGCCAGGTGAACACTTTAACCACTAGGCCACCCCACCGCCCCATCAAGGATAGGAAGGAGTCTGATGTGCTCAAATAGTTGAATATTAATCAAATAAACTGAGAAAACATGGTTATCTGAAATAGAAATGAATCATGGATTGAAGTCAGTGAAGGAATTCTGCAATAGTCCACCTATATCGCAGTGTATAGTGTATATATTAATGTATCGAGGAAAGTATATGTAAACACTTTCGCAAGCAGTGACTACTCATGCAGGTAGGCCAGTGGGAGAAGCCAATGTCTTGATGACACAGGTGATGCCCCATTTACAGCATGAATGAATATCGTGATCACTTCTGTGATTAAGTCCCCATTGATCTTGTGTATGAATTACACAAGCAATCCAGTGCAAAGTGATGATGCGTGAGAGGTGACATGATATATGACAAATCAAAGTGGATTTGCTTCAACTTCCTGTAAACTCGCTCGCCCTCCCCAGCTGCGTCCTGTCATCGAAGTAAAGCGGACATGTTTTCACACCGACAGTCTTTCATGTGCTCTCTCAAATATGAAGGGCAAGGTCAAGGGCAGCCGAAGTGTCCAAGTGCTGTGTCCTTGGACGTGTCTGGACATATGATCATAGGTTCGAATCTAGTTTTCCCTGTATATGATTCTAGGTTTGACCTGCCTAACTTCGGTCTTCCCACCCACATCAGGCTGACACACTATGATGTAACTGAGATTAGTGTTCACTGCGACATTAAACCAAACTAACTCTCTCAAATATGACCACGTATCATTTGTATATTAAACCTACAGTTTGAAAAACAGAAAATTTGTTTTTCTCTCCTCAGGATGGATGACAACCATGCTCACACATACACTTTCACTAAGAATTCCTAAACAGTGGAGAAAAATAAATAACGTGTCAATCATTTGTGGGTGTTGGGATTGGTGTGTTTGGATGGAAGGAACCTGTTGTAGCAGACAGACATCATCTGCTATAATCAAAGTGATAGCGCTGCGGGTAGTTTACAGAGATCTATGATTGCCCACAGGGCTGTCTCAGTTAGTGTGGCCTCAAACTGTCTATCTCCCAGTCTTAATTGGCATGTGCCTCATATTTAAATACACAATACATTAACTTCATTTTGTTATGTGGGCAATAGGTAGTATAATGATTAAGGTGTTTGCTTATCAGTGCAGAGGTCTTGATTTTATTTCCCTCAAAATATGATGCATATGATGTATACTACTCAAAAGAAGTTAAAGAACACCCAGTTTCTTTTTTCTTATAGTCATGAAACAGGATTTCCTTTAACTTCTTTTGAGTGGTATTTAAAGCAATATTTATTAGTTATTAGGCTGCATGAAACATTGCCCGCTCACACACACACACACACACACACACACACACACACACACACACACACACACACACACACACACACACACACACACACACAATCACTCATGACTTTGGAGAGTAGGTGTTAATATGTTTGTTTTCATGTGGGAGCCACTTTGCCAAGGATCACAAAGATATGTAATATTGATCAATTTAGATATGTAATTCTCCTGGAGTGTGACAGATAATTATGCAATGAGTGATTGGTGTGTGTTTCATAGCAATATGACAATATGACCGATCACAAACATTGATCCATGCAATTGGGATACGATGACATGCAATCAGCCTAGATACCGAGTCTCATCATTCTATTCATTTAGTCACCTCTAACAACCAGCATAGGTTGCCGAGGACCTATGTTCTTATCCGGAATCACCACGTTTGAGTGATAAGTATCAACTGATATGCTGCTTTTGCACAGTTTGAAGTTAACCTTGACCCTGATTCCAGATGCAGTCCCTGCACAACATCATGCTGTTCCCGCTGGACCAGTTCTTGAAGGGCGACCTGAAGGGTGTCAAGGGTGACCTGAAGAAACCCTTTGACAAGGCCTGGAAGGAGTATGAGGCCAAGTTGTAAGTATGAGTCACATGGAAGTAGATGTGTGAGGGATACTGGGTAGCCCAGTGGGCAGTGTGTTCACTCCTCATGCTAAATGCTGGTTGTATTCCCTGTTTTGTAAAATCAGGCTCTGATGTGATTTATTTCTAAAATGGTGAGAAATGGTTTTGTCTTCGGTCATGACTTTAGTCGTATAGATTGTATCAAGCTGTTTCTCAGCAAGTGTGTATGTTCTCAGGAGACAGGGTTTGTCCCTTCAATGCAACCACCTCCGTGGTCTAGTGGGTAGAGTGTCTGCCAGGAGAGCGGAGTTCGGGGGTTCGATCCCCAATTTCATAACTGAATACCAGGAATGATTGTGCACCAACTGCTTTTCCACCTTGAACTGTTGTGGCTCAGCTGCTCTACAATCGGAAATGAATATACAGTAAACTATGTTTATTATGAACATGCTTATAATGAACTGATCATCGATATAACAAAGTTATTTTTTAGATCTGGCCATTTGCTGTATATATGCTTATAACGAACTATGGTTATTGCAACCTGAAATTAGTGGTCCTTTTAAGTTCATTATTACTGTAGTTTACTGTATTAACAATGTTATTTAAAATTCATAAAGGACTTCTCGACTAGTGATGTACTGTGTTGGCCCTATTGGGGGGATTCTAGGTAATCCGTCAAGTTGGCTAGGGATGTACTGTGTTGGCCCCTTTATGGGGATTCTAGGTAAACCGTCAAATTGGCTGGGGATGTACTGTGTTTGCCGCCTTTGTGGGGATTCTGGGTAACCCGTCAAGTCGGCTAGCGATGTACTGTGTTGGCCCCTTTATGGGGATTCTGGGTAATCCGTCAAGTTGGCTGGGGATGGACTGTGTTGGCCCCTTTATGGGGATTCTGGGTAATCCGTCAAGTTGGCCGGGGATGTACTGTGTTGGCCCCTTTATGGGGATTCTGGGTAATCCGTCAAGTTGGTTGGGGATGAACTGTGTTGGCCCTTTTGTGGGGGTTCTGGGTAATCCGTCAAGTTGGTTGGGGATGTACTGTGTTGGCCCCTTTATGGGGATTCTGGGTAATCCGTCAAGTTGGCCGGGGATGTACTGTGTTGGCCCCTTTATGGGGATTCTGGGTAATCCGTCAAGTTGGTTGGGGATGAACTGTGTTGGCCCTTTTGTGGGGGTTCTGGGTAATCCGTCAAGTTGGTTGGGGATGAACTGTGTTGGCCCCTTTATGGGGATTCTGGGTAATCCATCAAATCGACTAGGGATGTACTGTGTTGGCCCTTTTGTTGGGGTTCTGGGTAGGCGATTATGTTAGCTATAGTGATGTACTGTGTTGGCCCTTTTGAGGGTATTCTGGGTAGGCAATCATGTTGGCTAGGGATGTACTGTGTAGGCCCTTTTTTAGTAGTGATCATGTGTCATTAGACAGGGCCCGATTTAGGCATATAATACATGCACCATTGCAACCTATGATTGAAAAATGCAACCTAATATTTATGTGTACATTCACCAAGTGCATGTCAAAATATTTCAAGTTTGTGTCCACACAAATTGATCTTTGAACACACTCAATAACTCTACAGTTTACTTACCATAATACATGACTAATCCCTGTGTAATTTGTCATGCTTTCTTAGGTTTGACAAAATCAAACTGTGCATACTTCAAGATGTGCACAGGACAATAAATTAAATGAATGATCCGGCAAGTCTAGTTTGCCTCAGCTCTAGACTTAATTAGGAATTGTTCTGGGCTCTTTTGGATTTTATTTATTTAAAGATCTTTAGATATATATATTTAAATAAGATAACTTTATTTCTGGGACCAAATGTCTACTGGCTGCAGAATGGCCTATGTTTCAACTCTGATTAATTTATGGGCCAGGGTGAAACCTGGTTTTGTTTGGTGCAACTTGTTTTCATGTCAACTGGTGCAAGTTAAATCCAATTCTTGAATCAAGCCTTGTCATACCATGAAATGTGGATCCTTGCTCATGCTATTGACCTAGATTCACCAATATTTTGAGAAGCAGACTTTGTATTGTGAGGTCATGTATACAAATGTCACAAGTATATTTGAGGTCATGTATACAAACTATGTGATACATATGTCCATGTAGGGAGAGGATTGTATCACAGGGACTCACCTATGTGATACATATGTTCATTTAGGGAGAGGGTTGTATCACAGGGACTCAACTATGTGATACGTATGTCCATCTAGGGAGAGGGTTGTATCACAGGGACTTACCTATGTGATACATATGTCCATGTTGGGAGAGGGCTATATTACAGGGACTCGCCTATGTGATACATATGTCCATATAGGGACAGGGCTATATCACAGGGACTCACCTATGTGATACATATGTCCATGTAGGAACAGGGCTATATCACAGGGACTCACCTATGTGATACATATGTCCATGTAGGAACAGGGCTATAACACAGGGACTCACCTATGTGTATTGTGAGGTCATGTATACAAATGTCACAAGTATGTATGAGAAGCATGTGTACAATGGTATTTATGTACAGTACGGACAAGGGTACTTAAGACACTGCGGCTTGAAGTGACTCGCTATCTTTTTGGCGTCTATTCACTATGATGATGGAATAAATCTCAGTGAAATGCTTCGTGATATACAGGCTGCTGTGATAAGGCACGATTTTTACTGACTGTGGGCAAACAAAGTTAAATCTTGGAAAGCTGAGATCCTAAAACTGTGTGATAACAGTTGAACACCATCCTATATGTCAATACATTCCAACTCACACTGTCTTTCAAAGGAATATCTGCATGCGTTTGTAACATTGCTTTTAACTCTCTGTAAGAAGTTGCCAAGCAATTAACGTCATGGCAATAGTTTGACATCATGTCAATTAATCATGAAAAGTCTGCCTTTAAAATTACTCTGGTTTGCAGTATTATCCCCCATGAGTGTAACACTAGATATGTAGCAAAAGCACATCGGTGCTGAAGATACTCCTTTTGTTCAGTACCTTGATACTTAATACTCTGTGACAGTACCTAAACCCACAGACGGGTGACGATACTCCTTTTGTTCAGTACCTTGATACAGCGTAAAAAATATGGTGAAGATATTCCTCTGTGACAGCATCTAGATGCTGATACAGCCTAGAAAACCCAGATGCTGGTGAAGGTATTCCTCTGTGACAGTACTGAGATCCTTGATACAGCTCACAAAACCCTCAGACTGGTGAAGATATTCTTCTGTGACAGCACCTAGATCCTGATGTACCCTAGAAAACCAAGAGGCTGGTGAAGATATTCCTCTGTGACAGTACTGAGATCCTTGATACAGCTCACAAAACCCTCAGGCTGGTGAAGATATTACTCTGTGACAGCACCTAGATCCTGATGTACCCTAGAAAACCCTCAGGCTGGTGAAGATATTCCTCTGTGACAGCACCTAGATCCTGATGCACCCTAGAATACCCACAGGCTGGTGAAGATATTCCCCTGTGACAGCACCTAGATCCTGATGCACCCTAGAATACCCAGAGGCTGGTGAAGATATTCCTCTGTGACAGTACCTAGATCCTGATGCACCCTAGAATACCCATAGGCTGGTGAAGATATTCCTCTGTGACAGCACCTAGATCCTGATGCACCCTAGAATACCCAGAGGCTGGTGAAGATATTCCTCTGTGACAGTACCTAGATCCTGATGCACCCTAGAATACCCACAGGCTGGTGAAGATATTCCTCTGTGACAGTACCTAGATCCTGATCCACCCTAGAATACCCACAGGCTGGTGAAGATATTACTCTGTGACAGTACCTAGATCCTGATGCACCCTAGAAAACCCTCAGGCTGGTGAAGATATTCCTCTGTGACAGTACCTAGATCCTGATGCACCCTAGAATACCCACAGGCTGGTGAAGATATTCCTCTGTGACAGCACCTAGATCCTGATCCACCCTAGAATACCCACAGGCTGGTGAAGATATTCCTCTGTGACAGTACTGAGATCCTTGATACAGCTCAGAAACCCACAGGCTGGTGAAGATATTACTCTGTGACAGTACCTAGACAGAACAGCTCAGAAAACAGTGAGGGCAGTGAAAATATTCCTCTTATGCAGTACCTGGTTAGAACATAGCAAATTCACAGGGCAGTGAAAATAATACTCTAGTTCGACACATAAGAACTTGTTTAAGATAAAGCCCAGATGTGCTTTGTATGTAAATTTAACTGTTTTAATAATATGGATGACTTTGCTTCCATTATTCTGTGCTACTGGCCAATGCTGCCTTCCAGCCAAACCTGACCTAAGACTGCTCTCACATCAGTACATCACATCATCAAAGTCATCTGTAACATTATGACGCCAGTGTCTTTCGAAATTAATACAAACTAACATCAAACATTAACATAGTGATCAGTTGGAGCACAGAATGACCGTCATTAGTCAATGCGACGGGAGTGGTGCAACAAGACGTTTACTTAATATTGAAGCCTCAGACATGCACCATTTTGATTATTGATCTCATCGACCTGGCGAGGTTAATTGCCACTACACAGACGCAGAGAATCTAGTCTGCTCACATTGATTCCATGATCATACGACACAATTCAAGTTCAAACTGCTTTCTGCTCACTTCACGTTTAATTCATTACGACTTGATGCAGATGATCAGAAGGATTATACAACAGCAATTTGCCCGTCACACTGATATTGATTCTGAGCTAGCATATGGAAGAAAAGTGTCTAATGGTAGTGTTTTGAGGAAGTGTATCCCTGGGCTGGGGGCTCACCTATATGTTACATATGTCCATGTAGGGAGAGGGCTATATCACAGGGACTCACCTATGTGATACGTATGTCCATCTAGGGAGAGGGTTGTATCACAGGGACTCACCTATGTGATACGTATGTCCATCTAGGGAGAGGGTTGTATCACAGGGACTCACCTATATGTTACATATGTCCATGTAGGGAGAGGGCTATATCACAGGGATTCACCTATGTGATAAGTATGTCCATGTAGGGAGAGGGCTATATCACAGGGACTCACCTATGTGATACATATGTCCATGTAGGGAGAGGGCTATATCACAGGGACTCACCTATGTGATACATATGTCCATGTAGGGAGAGGGCTTTATCACAGGGACTCACCTATGTGATACATATGTCCATGTAGGGAGAGGGCTATATCACAGGGACTCACCTATGTGATACATATGTCCATGTAAGGAGAGGGTTGTATCACAGGGACTCACCTATGTGATACATATCTTCATGTAGGGAGAGGGTTGTATCACAAGGACTCACCTATGTGATACGTATATCTATCTAGGGAGAGGGTTGTATCACAGGGACTTACCTATGTGATACATATGTCCATGTAGGGAGAGGGCTATATCACAGGGACTTACCTATGTGATACATATGTCCATGTAGGGAGAGGTCTATATCACAGGGACTCACCTATGTGTTACATATGTCCATGTAAGGAGAGGGTTGATACATATGTCCATGTAGGGAGAAGGCTATATTACAGTGATTCACCTATGTTGTACACACATATCATGCCTGTGTATCACCGGGTCTCATCTATTATTTGATACATTTGGCTTATTGCCAATAAGCATGTTTTCACAAGATTTCCACTTGCAGTTGCAAATACAACCTCTATAATTTTTAACTGATTCCAATTTCTGAGATTGATGGAACTCAAAAAAATATTTCAAAGAGGAGAAATCTTATGGAAATTTTCTTTTACAGATCTGGTTATGTAATTTTGGATTGCTGTCTCTAACAGTTTTCAAAATGACACTCCCCATAAATTATACCATGTGTGTCAATATCAATTAACTAAAGATCATAAAGAACAATCTTGGATGTGATCATAAATGTATTACCATGTTGTGGCAGAGTGGAGTATTCCAGCGAGCGGGCCATGAATGGTTGCGAGACTAGCCGTCTGCAGGCATGAGAAACTGGTCAGGGAAGTTAAATATGTATGAATGGTTCTATCAGTGAAATGAGGCAGAGGTAGTGGCAGTCTGATGGTGTTATGGAAGAGGGCAGCATGTAGCACTTTGTAGGCTGCAGCCAGCAATCCAGGAAAGAATGGAAACAATCCGTGAAAAGGTGCATAATCTTGTTCAGACATGGAAATACTCAGATTAAAACTACTTGGTTGAAGCAGTTTGAGAGTGGCTGCATTGTGTTTATATATGTGGCTTGCAACATTCTGCTTTTAGGTAATTAGGTGAAATTGTTTTTTTTATTGAATTATCATGATGGTATTAGGTAGTTTGGGTATTAGATGCTGCACGATCTGCCAGCTGTTTGTACGAGCATAGTTTGGTTTGAAATGTCACATTGTTAGCTCACTGGGTCCGAAGGACCAAGGTGAGCTTATGCCATACCGTGGCATCCGTCGTCTGTCCGTCATCCGTACGTCAACAATTTATTCAAAGGACTTCTTCTTTTGAACCACTTAATGGAAGTTAACGAAATTTGACTGGAAGCATCCCTAGGTGGTGTGGATTCAAAATTGTATGAATGGTGGGGCTGACCCCCAAGGGGCTGAGGGGAGGGGCCAAATAGGGGTAATTAGGCTATATTGCTTTAAACAACTTCTCTGGAACTAAGAGAGAGATATCAACCATATTTGGTTGGAAGCATTCTCCGGTGGTGGGGATTCAAAATTGTACAAATGGAGGGGCTGACTCCCCAAGGGTCTGAGGGGAGGGGCCAAATAGGGGTAATTAGGCTATATTGCTTTAAATTAAACTACTTCTCCTCTGGAACTAAGAGAGAGATATCAACCATATTTGGTTGGAAGCATTCTCCAATGGTGGGAATTCAAATTGGAGAAATGGAGGGGCTGAACCCTACCCCCACCCCTGGGGACTAAGGGTGGGGCTAATAAGAGTTTATAACTTGGACACAATTAAGATCCCCACCGTATAACCATATGTACAATTGAGAGAATAATGAGAAGAATGCACATATGCTAGCAGGACTGGCCCTTCTGTTCATCTGTCCGGTACTCCCAAAGGAGTTAGAACCTTGACCATAACATGCAAACCTATATTATCCCAACCCTATAATAAACAGATACATTGAATACATTTGTTTGTTATGAAGAGAATAATACCTTTATATGATTTATCCTGGATCATAACATGGAAACGGTTCAGATCTTTATGCTAGATTTGTATCTAGAGAAATACACGTTCATGCTGTCAGATTTGCCATCCACCAATTACAATTGCCAGTCAAAATTACGAAATATTTGCAGTATTATATACATGTACATTGCAAATGTATATTTTGTCATGATTACGTAAATATCCAGTTAAGCGATACAGGCCCTATTGGCTGCTTGTTTGATGAGTATTTGCTTTTATTGTCAGTGAAGTTATTATCAAACGCCACGAAGTTCATCCATCCGTCCATCCTTCCATCCTTCCATATGTCTTTCTGTTCGTCTGCTTCTCAAAGGGGACAAGGGCGTTTGTTCGTCACGCCGAAGACCCAGGTTCGATTCCCGACATGGGTACCATGTGTGAAGCCCATTTCTGGTGTCCCCGGCTGTGATTTTGCTGGAATATTGCTAAAAGCAGCGTAAAATCAAACTCACGCTCTCAAATGGGACAAATTTTCTCAGAGATGTGGATATTTTCCACACTGATATTACTGATCATGATCTTAAATGAGTTCAAAGAGTTATGGCCCTTGCTTTTCAACCTAGTGAATACTGTGTGAAATGGGGACAAGTTTTCTCAGGAACTACTGAAATTACATGAATGAGTTTTGTATGCTTATCTATGAGAAATTTATCAAGACTGACTGAGAATTGGTGCCATAAATATTTTTTTCCAGAGAAGGGGCCTTTTGTATCTATGAATTACACATTCACCATGCAACACATAGAAACGCAAATATAGAAAACAGCCAGGTAGAAGAGACAACTTTGAGCTGAAGTTGGAAAATCTTTGTATGTTTTTGTTATTTTCACGATAGCTCTAAGCCAGGATCATCAACATACAGCAAACTAACCAGTGGTTGATAGCATGAGCAGTGTTCCTGTTGTCAGGGCACAATGACACACCTCCAGCCAGGTCCCACTTGGTCCTACACATTTAGTCAGCCCTTACATCAGGGTCAAGGCCTTGTTTTACCCATGAGCCTCTGGGTGTCCACAATGGGAAGTGACATGTGGTTGTGTTCTTAATATCCAGGACATTTTGTTGTTACTTCAGCGAGACTCCTTGTTTTCTTGGGTTTTAGAATTTAATGTAATAATATTTTTGTTTTAGTTCCAAGATTGAGAAGGAGAAGAAGCAGCAAGCCAAGGAAGCAGGGATGATCCGGACGGAGGTCTCAGGGGCTGAGGTATGTTGTCACAAACCATCACCTGGCCGGTCTTTCATAATTGTCTGGTGGTTTGTCTTGGTGGTTTTATGTAGTGAACAAACTGACATTAGCACATTATGCTGATTGTGTGATGTATTAATGCTATTCTTTTCGCTTCAACTGAACTGCTATTCTTGTGCCTTTTCACAGGAATCAAATCGATCACATATCTTTTCCTTTCATTTAACTGGACTGCTATTCTTCAATCTATGCAAAATTAATCCTTTAAATGATTCGTTCCCAACATTAAACTGGCCCGCTTCTCTGTAACAGCTTCTTGGATGAAACGCCAGTATTGTTTGTGTACAGTAGCACAATCACATGCACTCCGGTTGACTGAACAACCATTAGCTGGGTTCCTCTTCCTGCTGTGAACCCAGGAAGTGTGTCATTTTCACTGTTTAGACAATTATCAGGTTGAGCAGTGGCCTTTTTCCAACATACAAAGATATGTTGACAGTGGCTTTCATCAGATCAGTACATGTTGAATTGATCATTTCCTGATTAATGCTTCGTGTGATATATATAATTATTTTATTTAGAGGTATTTGATATTGCTGGACTTGTGCTGAATGCATCCAACCAAGCAACAAACAAAACAATTAAACATGACACCCAAGGCCCAGATCATTTTAGACATTCTACATTTTGACTAGTCCTCCAGTTGTATTGAATAAAGCTAAGTGATCACTGTGAAAGCAAATATATTATTGAAAGAACCTCTGACTGTTATTAATATAATGAAATACTGATTGTTAATAAGAAAACTTTTGAAATACTTGTTCAGTGAGAAAATTATTCAAAGCAAGTATGGCAGTATTGTTTTGACCAAAAACTACACACATAAAGAGACTGAAAGGTAGTCCTTGGAAACATGTGGAAAATGTAGTTACCCTGATTATGATTTTTACACACGATTATTCAAAGAGTCAACCCTTTCTAAGTATTAGACTCCACCTATGCCACATCATCCATCACTTTTACTATCATCGAATAGTATGCATTTTGTTTATGATGGTATACTAGAGATATACATACTGTTCAATATACCGGTAGAGGTTTCAACTCAGATTTTATAACTGTAAATGTTTCCCACTCAGACCACAAAAAAGTTGTTCATTTGAAACCTCTAGTTTAAAACACAGTAGGTATATCTGCTACTTTGTTGACAAGTTTCCATTGTACCTCTCTACATGTTAAAGTTACATATATCCTGGCTGTGTGCAGATTGCTGACGAGATGGAGAAGGAGAGGAAGATCTTCCAGCTCCACATGTGCGAGGTAATCAGTCTTCTTCTGCCAACAAGTCACTGTGTAGGGTTTAACATAGTCTGCCTTAGTCCCTGAACTATATTATTTTCCCTTCCAACCAGCTCTTTCTTTAATGCAAAAGCGCTAAATGAAGCAGATTTTCCTCAGGTTCTGAATCTCCCATCTCACTGGGGCTCCTTTTCAATGGAAATGGAGTTAGCTGTTTCTATCAAAATTATGTATTTGTACAAACTAAGCATTAGTCTAAATTTTATGCTGCTGTGGACAGTATTTCATTTACAGCGAAGCCTTGTTAATCCCAATGGTACTGATCCATGTGAGATCATCTGAATAAGCACATTTCTGAATTTATCACTGTAACATACTGTATTCACTGTATTAAGTGCTCTGCTCTAATAAGCGTCCCCTGACCAACTTCTAGACCAGTTTGTAAGTAATCTTGATAGTCCCCCCCCCATGTTAGACCAATACTTACACAACAGTCCATATTTTCTTGTGTAAATTACACATTTATCACTGAAAACAGCAGCACAGAAAAAGGTGTATATAATAGCCTTGTAACTATTATCAAAAAGGTTTCACCGAATTTTGAACTTTGTTCACTATTCTATCATTGAAAACAAATTGTATGGTTTTAATAAGCACCAGCTTTGTCAATTTTCTAGGCTCCCGGGGCACTTAGTACAGAGAATATAGTACTATCCTTTGTATATATGTAGACTTCTCTAAGATAATGGTTAGGAACAGTGGGTTTGTGGACCAACAAGGTTGCATTGTATATGACAGAGTGTCAGCATAGACTATTAGCCACCTGGCCTCTACCTTCAACTGATGTCCCGTGGTTGATCACACTTGTTGATTGATCGGCTACTCCGTACTGCTGCAGTGATTGATTATGAGTGTCCGTAATCAATTGTGGTTAAAGATGGTCATATTAAGATATAAATATATCAAACGGTTGGTTTATATATTCACCTATTCATTAATTTTATTCTTCATTACACATACATATATTCACCTTTAGTATATCAGGCAGTTGTCTTTAAGGAATATGATACTAATGTTTCACATATTTATGTTTCAGTATCTGATCAAGATCAACGAGATCCGTACCAAGAAGGGTGTGGATTTATTGCAGTACTTGGTCGAGTTTTACCATGCTCAGGCAAAGTAAGTGTAGACAAAGTGGGACTTGTACCATGCTCAGGCAAAGTAGGTGTAGACAAAGTAGGACTTGTACCATGCTCAGTGAAAGTAAGTGTTGACAAAGTGGGACTTGTACCATGCTGAGGCAGTGTAAGTGTAGACAAAGTGGGACTTATACCATGCTCAGGCAGTGTAAGTGTAGACAAAGTGGGACTTGTACCATGCTCAGGCAGTGTAAGTGTAGACAAAGTGGGACTTGTACCATACTTAGTGAAAGTAAGTGTAGAACAAGTGGGACTCGTACCATGCTCAGGCAGTGTAAGTGTAGACAAAGTGGGACTTGTACCATAATTAGTGAAAGTAAGTGTTGACAATGTGGGACTTGCACCATGCTCAGGCAGTGTAAGTGTAGACAAAGTGGGACTTGTACCATGCTCAGGCAGTGTAAGTGTAGACAAAGTGGGACTTGTACCATACTTAGTGAAAGTAAGTGTTGACAAAGTGGGACTTGCACCATGCTCAGTGAGAGTAAGTGTTGACAAAGTGGGACTTGTACCATGCTCAGGCAGTGTAAGTATAGACAATGTAAGACTTGTACCATGCTCAGGCAGTGTAAGTGTTGACAAAGTGGGACTTGTACCATGCTCAGGCAGTCTTAGTTTAGACAAAGTGGGACTCGTACCATGCTCAGGCAAAGTAAGTGTAGACAAAGTGGGACTTGTACCATGCTCAGGCAGTGTAAGAGTAGACAAAGTGGGACTTGTACCATACTTAGTGAAAGTAAGTGTTGACAAAGTGGGACTTGCACCATGCTCAGGCAGTGTAAGTTTAGACAAAGTGGGACTCGTACCATGCTCAGGCAAAGTAAGTGTAGACAAAGTGGGACTTGTACCATGCTCAGTGAGAGTAAGTGAAGACAAAGTGGGACTTGTACCATGCTCAGGCAGTGTAAGTGTAGACAAAGTGGGACTTGTACCATGCTCAGGCAGTGTAAGTGTAGACAAAGTAGGACTTGTACCATGCTCAGGCAGTGTAAGTGTTGACAAAGTGGGACTTGTACCATGCTCAGGCAGTGTAAGTATAGACAATGTAAGACTTGTACCATGCTCAGGCAGTGTAAGTGTAGACAATGTGGGACTTGTACCATGCTCAGGCAGTGTAAGTATAGACAATGTAGGACTTGTACCATGCTCAGGCAGTGTAAGTGTAGACAATGTAGGACTTGTACCATGCTGAGGCTAAGGTATGTTTGTGTTCAGTTTCTTCCAGGACGGTCTGAAGACCATAAACCACTTCCATGGCTTCATTGAGGAGCTGGTCACACAACTCAAGAAAATCAAACAGAGACAAGACAACGAGCGCAAGCAGTTGATAGAGCTCCGGGATGCTCTCAAGAGCTCCATGTCATCGTACAAAGAGGTAACCTACATGACATGTTCTTAGCAATGTTCTTGTTAGATACTGATGCCACTTCCTCACAGTTGGCTTCTGTTGTGAAGGAGTTGTGAAGGAGTGTCATGGTGAGAATTTTTGATCATCTTGAGGTAATTATTAAGAGATTGCAAGAATTTTGAAGTCTTGAGTGAACTGTTTGAGGCAATTCTGAGACTTCTAGAGCTAAAATGTTAGTTTCATAATTCCTTAAAAAATTAATTTATTTGTATCAGCATAGTTTAACTGTGATTCTTTAATAAATGAGAATTCCATTATTGACGTAGGAATAAAATACTTGTGTGCAAAACTGAAGGGAACCTACCGTAACTTTTATTCATAATTGTAGTCTTGTGGATCATGAATTGAAACCTGGGCCCAGTTGCACAAAGCAATCTTAGCTCTAAGATAATCATATCACCCACACTTTAACATTGACTTAGCACAGTCATAGCTCTGTGATCACATGTGGAACAGGGCCCTGGTATTAATTGCTCTTATAGTTTGACATGTTCAACCAACTCAAGTTTCAATGGAGATTCCTAACACTGCAACAGGTGTTGCATACTTCCATGAGTAACCCATTGACATTCCGTGTTTGACTGACCTGACTATTTCCGTATTTCAAGCATGCTCACCACCGGTTGTCAGGAGGAGGCTGGGTATAAGATGCTGGGATGTTGTCCTCTGTTGCTTAGGGATGGAACGATTCACTTAAGTCACGATGTGTCACTATACACTAGTTTGGGAGAAAAATGCACCATTTTAGTATAACAGGAAATATTTATTTTAGAAATAATATTTGTGAAGATGTTCACCAGTAAATGAGACTGAATAATGGCCTTATCGATACTGTATCATTGTCAGTTTGTGAACCTTCAACCAGATACATGTAACATTACAAAGTGAATTTATCGCATATCGTACTGTTGTGTTTGATGTCCAGATGCACTGGTGAATCGTTTCAACCTTAGCTTGTGATAATTTTTGTCCTCAATCTGAATAGTATCTGTTTCTTCAGTATGTACGGCATTCAAGTAGCTGTTCTTGTGAAATATTTTTGCACATCAGTTGTTATTGTAAATGCAGTCTAGTACAAATGTCCTGACAATGGATTGCTTGATTTCCAATCTTCAGATGCTATTTTTTCTTTACAGCATGAAAATTCATTCTCATCCTTACGATTCTTTCTATATACTGTGCATGATTTGTTTCTTCTTGTCATAATGAATTGTGAAACTTGGTTGTTATGTGTCCATGCAAACGTCTTTTCTGCAAAGTCTGATTGGCCAGGATGGCTAACTTGGTTGATGGATGTCATCATTTTGCAATTGATGGACTGATTCTCATCATGTCAATCACTGGATTGCCTGTCTAGACTCCATTATTTACAGACTGCTGTCATATAGCTGGAATATTGCTGAGTGCCGTGTTAAAAAACAAACAAACAAACAAAAAACAAAAGGAAGATAGGGGAGGAGACCGACATGCGTGTTCATCATAGGATTCAAAGACTATAGTATGATGTTATCAGTGTTGTATGTCACTACTTAGGGTGCTGCCTCCGATAGCTATGATGCCCATAAACCAGGAGGAAGATTTGTTTGTGTCAGTGTAGTTTTTAATTATCGTGTACTGCCAGGCCTTAATTTGTCAGGAATTTCAGATTTCTGTCTGTAGTTATAATTAATTCAATTCATGTTGACTGTTTCAGTTGATTTGTCTCTGAAACTATCAGTTTCATTTCAAAATATTTGTCAGATGTTTTGTATGCAAGTACAAATATTGTTTTGAAAGACGTTAATTAGATAGTGAATGTAAGACAGTTGGACTGTGGGGATAGAGAATCTGACGCATGTGCTACAGTGAGGAAGGTGGAATTAAGGCAAATTTGTGCTCAGTAGTGAAATTGCTGATATTTGTTGTCCAGTAATAATCTTTAAAATCTCCTTTCCTATACAACTGCAACTTCACATCAATCATAGTGACTTATCTAACATTCTGTTTATAAAAATCGCCCATTCATATGTTTGTTGTGACTGATGTGTGTTTGTTTGCACTGGTGGACATGACCAGTGACATGTTGGAGTAATTCCTTTCACTTACGCTCTGTATTAACAACCTGCAATGTACTGTGTGCAGCCGTCGACGACGAACTCGTCCACGCCCGGCTACAGCCTGCACCAGCTGCAGGGCAACAAGATACATGGCAGTGAGAAAACTGGCTACCTGCTCAAGAAGAGCGAGGGCCGCATGCGTCGAGTGTGGCAGAAGCGCCGCTGTATCATCAAGGAGGGGCTGCTGTACATTAGCCATCATGACGTGAGTACAGGGGATACCGACTGAGGAAGACATGCACGAGGCAGATGTATCATTTTTCATTTTACATGCATTGCTCTACCACCGTTGGTTGAACACCAAGTTGCTCTACCACCATGGGTTAGAACACTGAGTTGCTCTACTGCCATCGGTAAGAACACCGAGTTGCTCTACCGCCATGGGTAAGAACACCGAGTTGCTCTACCCCCTCGGTAAGAACACCGAGTTGCTCTACCACTGTGGGTAAGAACACCAAGTTGCTCTATCGCCATGGGTAAGAACACCGAGTTGCTCTACCGCCGTGGGTAAGAACACCGAGTTGCTCTACCGCCGTGGGTAAGAACACCGAGTTGCTCTACCGCCATGGGTAAGAACACCGAGTTGCTCTACCGCCATGGGTTAGAACACCGAGTTGCTCTACCGCCATGGGTAAGAACACCAAGTTGCTCTACCGCCGTGGGTAAGAACACCGAGTTGCTCTACCGCCGTGGGTAAGAACACCGAGTTGCTCTACCGCCATGGGTAAGAACACCAAGTTGCTCTACCGCCGTGGGTAAGAACACCGAGTTGCTCTACCGCCATGGGTAAGAACACCGAGTTGCTCTACCATTGTAGGTTAGAGCACAGAGTTGCTGTAACACTGTAGGTTAGAACACCGAGTTGCTCTATTGCCATAGGTGAGAACACCGAGTTGCTCTATCCCTGTGGGTAAGAACACCGAGTTGCTCTACCGCCATGGGTAAGAACACCGAGTTGCTCTACCGCCATGGGTAAGAACACCGAGTTGCTCTACCGCCATGGGTAAGAACACCGAGTTGCTCTACCGCCATGGGTAAGAACACTGAGTATCTCTACCGCCATGGGTAAGAACACCGAGTTGCTCTACCATTGTAGGTTAGAGCACAGAGTTGCTGTACCACTGTAGGTTAGAACACCAAGTTGCTCTATTGCCATAGGTGAGAACACCGAGTTGCTCTATCGCTGTGGGTAAGAACACCGAGTTGCTCTACCACCGCGGGTTAGAACACCGAGTTGTTCTACCGTGGTGGGTTAGAACACCGAGTTGCTCTACCATTGGGGTTAGAACACCGAGTTGCTCTATTGCCATAGGTGAGAACACCGAGTTGCTCTATCGCCATGGCGTGGGTTTCACCGAAGTGGTAAACGTCTGAGACCTGCATCACTTCGGGCTTTCCTCCCATATTAAGCTGACACGCCGTGATATAAAAGTGGTGTTAAACCCAACTCACTCACTCACTCACTATCGCCATGGGTAAGAACACCGAGTTGCTCTACCGCCGTGGGTAAGAACACCAAGTTGCTCTACCATTGTAGGTTAGAGCAGAGAGTTGCTGTACCACTGTAGGTTAGAACACCGAGTTGCTCTATTACCATAGGTGAGAACACCGAGTTGCTCTACCACCGTGGGTTAGAACACTGAGTTGTTCTACTGCGTTGGGTAAGAACCAGGGATCCAGGGACCTATACTCGTCGTCGGAGACTTCTAGTGGATCGGATCGACTTGGTGACTTTGTTGATCAAGTCATCATCTTCCGATTGCTTGAGATGTTTCTTCATAATATTAAATACGGGTTTATTTGGCCCAGACTTCATTATTACAGGCTGCTGTGATTTGGCTTGAATATTGTTGAGTGTAGTGTTAAGCCAAGACAATCCCAAACAGATGCTGTAGGTTGCATGTCTCTAGCCGTGTGGGAACGGGCTTTGGATAGGTCCCAAGTACTCTGTCTTGATTAATTAAGATTAGTTCAGGTGGTCAGGGACTTGGCTGACTGTGTGTCATCGTGTGCCGACATTGTGGTACGTGGCTCTTTGTTTCTGTCACTGGCTTTGCCTGGAGAGTTATGGTAGAACTATGTATTGTATGGCCTTAATATGATGGTTATTTCATGACCTGTACTTCATAACAATCAGTTTCATCAGAATTATACAGAATGATTTGTCATTTTCAGGAAAACAAAGATCCGGTGAAGTTGAATCTTCTGACTTGCCAAGTGAAGGTAAGCTGTGATGAGATCAGAAAGTGTATATTGATTATCATCTAGAATTTATCAAAATAATTCCAAGGATTGATTCAATTTTCATGAACTATCTGATGTATGTATGGCAGTGAATTGCTGTTCGTTCATTGTCATCCTTTGGTTAATAGGTAACATGCTTTCGTTTCTAAATTACGTTCTACGTTACGTTGTTATATTCTTTGGGCCTGCGTTCTTTGTATCTGTACATGAACAGTTCAAGGTAATGAAGGAGATATTCAACTTGTTGAAATACTGCAATGTATTGCAATATATTACAATATATTAAAATATATTAATTCATGATTATTCTCGTGCAAAGCATGTGTTTGTTGGGGTTATATGACAAGGCTGGGCTCACACAGATACAGGCGAGCAAGTGCACATGTCACTGAGCAGCCATATTCAAGTGAGTGTGTTTATCATGAAGAATGAGTGTTGGAATACTACAACTACCTGTGTGATTGTGTGTTTACAGCTGGTTCATGACGACCCTGGAAAGAAGTGTTTTGACCTCGTCTCCTCTTCCAGTGAGTAGAACCCAAACTTAAAAAATAATTGGAATAAACCTGTGACAAAATATTGATGGTTGGAATCTTTGGGAGCAGTTGACAAGTATCACAGATATTGTCTTGAGAAAATTGGGGAAAGGTTTAATCAGTAGCTTACATGGACTGGCTTTGATATGCAACATTGTTTATGGTGCAAGGGACATAATTTACTCTGATTGTCTCCCTTTATTTTCTTATTCTGGTATTTGGAAGGGAGCTTTAACATTTATTGTTTGAACAGGATGTCCGGTTAAACAACTGTTAAATGCATCCCTCTACAGCTGTTTCTATAATTCTATTTAGTGTATTTTACATGTGAGTGAACTTTAATAATCATGTAGTCCATTGTGTAGATATGATGTTTCAAATGCATGACGTACTGAAATCTCTGCTGCTGTTTCAGATAACCGCACATATCACTTCCAATCAGATGATGTGAAAGATATGGAGGCGTATGTACAAACCTTTTGTCTTCTTGAAAAATGACGAGATGCATTTATCTCATGAAGCATTTAAAGTTTTTTCATTGGTAGAAGAAATTAAGGGTGTTCCTAGCGTTCTTGAGGTTTTCTGCATTTTGTATTTTGATGTAATGACCACCTTGAGTTTTATCTTTAATGACAAGAATCCACTGACTTCCAAGATTTAACGCAAAGTTAGATTTATGCATTTGCTAATCTTGTTATGTTGAAATTATCCTGAAAAACTGAAGATTTTGTTTCTCAAACAATTTTGAATATCCACTACTCCACTCTCTTGTGTTCATTTGACATTATGAGTTAATCTCTACTCTAAATATGGAAACAGTCTCCAATTTTATAGTACCTTGGTCCATTGTTTAGGGCCCGAGTCAACCCCTGTATGTTCTTTCAGCTGGATTTCAGTATTAAACAATGCGAAGGAAGAGGTTTTACTGAAGGCATTCCAGGACAGTAGCAACTCCCCGTCTCTCAATCAGAATGTCCGAGAGCTCACAAACAGTATTATCGACCGAGTCAAGCGGCTTCCTGGAAACAAGTATTGCTGTGATTGTGGAGCACCAGGTAGGTCACTGGTAGCAGTACCAAGCTAAACATGGTTTTCATAATGGATTCAATTTGGCAGTCAGGCCTTGAAAAGGCCAGAACTTTTATTATTATCTACGAGGTCAAACATATGTGCCCTAGGGTCATATCACGTCATGAGACAACAGTGTATTGTTTCCGTCATCTGGACGGCATTGTTACGTCATTCAAATCTTATTGTGACGTAAGTTTGGAATGACGTCACACTAGAAATGACATCATAGCTAAAGATTGTTGATGTCATTCGACAAATTGCTGTTGTGACTTGCTGTCCTTATAGGTAAACACTAAATCTTCTTTGGTAATAAATAGAACATTATGTTTCTGTTCATGTCATACTATGTTTACATCACTCGTGCCTAAATTCCGGTAGTTACTGTAATTCAGACACTTGTGTCGTAAACATAGTATGACATAGTATGACAAATATAATATCCTCTATATGTGCCATGAAAAGGCTGTAATATTGGCATAATGCCTTGAAAAGGCCATATATTTTTTATTCTGCTTTGAAAAGGCCTTAAGACTGATAAAAGGCCTTGAATGTGGCTCTGCCAGTAAAAGTTGTTCACCTGGTTTCATTCCCCACATAGGTACAATGTGGGAAGCTCACTTTGGTGGCCCCAACCATACTTATTAACTCACCTTTTTCAGACCCGGAATGGCTGTCGACAAACCTTGGGGTGTTGATCTGCCTAGAATGTTGTGGGATTCACCGCCAGATGGGCGTCCACATCTCCCGCACACAGAGCATCGTCATAGATGAGCTGGGCACCTCTCAGCTATTGGTAGGGTCATGATAATCCTTTACTCCACTGTAGAGAGTCTGCGGCAGTGTAGGACCACAGAACTAAATGCTGAAATGTTGAATAGCGCTTTGATGTGATAGTTGCAATGTGTTACCTGGGCCCTGTTCCACAGAGCGATCTAAGCGGTAAGATGAGCGTAACTCCCATACTTAAACATAGGCTTACGACAGTCGCTTTGTGGAACGGTCCCTGGTTGGTTGTGATCCTGATGGGTGTATGCAAGACAACAATTTACCACTGGGTTGTTTGCTCCAGAATCTTGTAAAGTTGCCATGATAAAGCTGTAGTATTGCTGTGACATATATCCACTTCTTCATTCTCTTGTGTTCATTTGACATTGTCATCACAAGATTATTACTCTCAATTTGAGTTAGGCCAGACTTTTTTCTGTCTTGGGGTTTACGGATTTTGATATTAAAAAATTTGGTCCGTTGAAAAACAATTCTCTGACATGATTTTTATGATTATTTTAGTTTGATTTTGGATTGGAAAGGTGATAAAACAAAATACAGTATCATTAATTGTGAGACCTTTTCGCTATATTTATATGACAATCCCTTGGATCTTTACTGTAGGTGGTAACCTTGTCATTCTGATTATATTTGTTTCTGAATTTTCTATATTTTATGTCTGCGAATCCGTAAACCAAGATAGAAAAGTAAGGCATCAGATTGGTATTAAGATAGATATCTGTGCTAAAGATATTTTTCATTGATTTCATTTTTAGTATGACAATTTTTATTTTGTTTCAGCTTGCAAGAGTAGTAGGAAACTCCAACTTCAATGATATTATGGAGGCCACTCTTGACCCCACTCAAAAGCCAAAACCTTCTAGTCATATGTGAGTACAACTAGTTATGGTTTCATCAAGAGATGTGATGGTGGTGGATCAGGAGTGAGTGAGTGAGTTGGGTTTAACGCCATTTTTAACAGTATTACAGTTATATCACGGCATGTCAACTTAATTTGGGTGGAAAGAGACGCAAGAGCACGGGTATGGTGCTGACAAACCTAGAAACATAATCGGGGCGAACTGGTATTCGAACCCACAATCATAGGTTTCTGGCATGCCCAAGGGATGCAACTCTGCACAGCGCTTTAGAAGACTTGGCCACCCGTGCCCCCTGGTGGCTCAGGACAGGGGATTATTGATAACTGTGCAGTTATCCAGTACTGACTCGATGACCAATAGTTAGTGTACGCATTGTGAAGGAAGTTGCTATTTCATATTTATGTTCAACCTATTTGTTATGTATCTATACATGCAAACATTCATTTATGTGCAGCCAGACAAGCAGTTTCACAAAGTTATAAAGTTTTAAGAGTTCAAAGATTGATAAAACTAGGATGGAAAATACACAAAATATTTCAAGAACTAATAGATTGTGCGATTTGTTTAACAAAATCAATTATGACCCTGATTGATGATACGATTCAAATTCTCAGGTGGAAACTTTCTGATAATGATTGTTACCCTATTATGATTATTTTCTATGTTCATCACTGTAGACGACCTTGTTTGTCTTCCTAGGGATGATAGACGCGACTTCATACGAGCCAAGTACGAGCACCATCGATATGCAATAATCACATGTACAGACAAGGACGACCTCAAGCAGGACCTGCGACAAGCCATCTTGTCCAAGGACATTTTGGCCCTGTTGCAGGTCCATGCTGAAGACCTCGATCTCATGGCTATCCTCCCTGACATGGTGAGTGTCTTGTTATTATTCATGGTTTGTGTCTTCATGTGAAAAAAGACCCAATTGGTCTTGTTGGTTTCCCATTGATTCGTTGATGAAGAAAACATTTATCATGCTTAGGCTGAAGATATAAAAGAAATCGTTTTGAGGCAATGGTTTTTGAAAATATAGTGCGTGAGGGCGGATTAATTTTTTGTTGTTGTTGTTCGTACTAGTAGGTAAACAAATAAACAATGTGTACAATCAACCTGGGAAAGGGCCTGCCTACATAAATGTATTCCTTGATGAGTGAAATACTGGAATACAGTATTTGACTACCGTTGGACTTGGAATATTAAAGGATTTTTTAAAAAAAGTTTCAAAATGGAAATAAAAACGAAACGTGCAGCGAACTTTATGATAATGCGGGCGGTGCCTGAGAACCATGACTATTAATTTTTTTAGCCTTACATGTTGGTTACCTTGGTTTGAGGGTAAATGTTTACCCACTGACCAGGCCCCTGTTCCACGAGGTGATCTTATTGCTACAATTGTTGTAAGTCTATGGTAAAGTATGGGAGTTTCGATCGCTTAGTGCAGCGGGGTCCAGTGCATGTACTACAGGATAGCCACCAAGCTGTTATTGCCTTGGAGTGATGAGTGTCAAGATACAACTGTACTGCTGTGTCATCTGTGGGCATGATTACGAGGATCGAGGGTTCCACTGAATAGTGCAAGAAGCAATCAGGCATATCTCCCTCTCTGGGATACATTCTTGCTTCATTTATGTAGAGACAAAGCATCCCATATCTCAATCCATACTAACACTATCAATCAGCAGTTAATAGGTTAAGTTGAGGCAGTGCCGTATTGTAATTTCAGTTTGTATAAAAATATGTTATCAAGACAAAACCTGACGTGTTATCATTAATTTGATTTGCCTTACATAATAATTGCATACTGGAGATTAAAGTGAACTTTGGTCTGAAGCTAGACCGAACAAAGGTCAGTGGTTGGACTGAACATAGGTCAGAGGTAAAACTACTCACAGATCAAAGGTTAGACAGAATATAGATCAGAGGATGGGTCAGAGGTTAGACAGAAACATAGGTCAGAGGTTAGACTGAACATAGGTCAGAGGTTAGACAGAAATATAGGTCAGAGGTTAGACTGAACATAGGTCAGAGGTTAGACAGAAATATAGGTCAGAGGTTTAGACTGAACACAACACAGAGGCTAGACAGAACAGGTCACAGGTCAAACTGAACCTAGGTTGGAGGTTAGACTGAACATTCGTGGGAGGTGTTAATAAGATCAATTTATGTGTATACTTAAGATTGGTTTCTACGGTCAAACACCCCCTTGGTGTTTCAGTCCCCTGTTCATACATTTGTCACAGGGTGAGTAAAATATGGCTGCTGAAGGCTAGTCAGCTTCTTACACTACCAAGCCTTGTTTTGTGTGGTTTGCACTCCATGTGTTCTTGGTTGTGGTGAAAGTAACTGTTGTGTAAAGCGCAGTTCAGTTCTAGTGAGTTGTGCGTGACAGCCTTGTTTGTGTTCCAGGAGAATGATGAGACAGCACTACATCTGGCAATAATTGAAGAAGATGGATCTTCCCTGCCCATTGTAGACTTCATCATACAGAACAGTGCAATGTAAGTGTGTGGGTACTGGGTCTGTATCCAGAGAAACCCCCTTAGCCCAGACCCTGCCCATTGTAGACTTCATCATACAGAACACTGCAATGTAAGTGAGTGGGTACTGGGTCTGTATCCAGAGAAACTCCCTTAGCCCAGACCCTGCCAATTGTAGACTTCATCATACAGAACAGTGCAATGTAAGTGTGTGGGTACTGGGTCTGTATAACCTACAGGGAAACCCCCTTAGCCCAGACCCTGCCCATTGTAGACTTCATCATACAGAACAGTGCAATGTAAGTGTGAGGGTACTGGGTCTGTATACAGAGAAACTCCCTTAGCCCAGATCCTGCCCATTGTAGACTTCATCATACAGAACAGTGCAATGTAAGTGTGTGGGTACTGGGTCTGTATACAGAGAAACCCCCTTTGTCCAGACCCTGCCCATTGTAGACTTCATCATACAGAACAGTGCAATGTAAGTGTGAGGGTACTGGGTCTGTATACAGGGAACCCCCCTTAGCCCAGACCCTGCCCATTGTAGACTTCATCATACAGAACACTGCAATGTAAGTGAGTGGGTACTGGGTCTGTATACAGAGAAACTCCCTTAGCCCAGACCCTGCCCATTGTAGACTTCATCATACAGAACAGTGCAATGTAAGATGTAGGAACCCCAGACTCTCTTACAATTTGAACCCTCTTGTTCTTTTTGCTCCGCATCCCCCTTGTTTCTCCCCCACAGAACCTTTCTGGTTTGAGAGTAACGGTAAATGTTGGCTATTCCCAAGCTCCTCACAGCGATTGCCCGTTCGCGGAGCTCTCTATACTATTGCTGCCACAAGTCAAAACTCCCCGCTGTGATAGGTGGCCCCAACCATGCTTGGATTTGAACTTGCAAACTGAATGACCGTTATGTTTACAAACAAGTGACGACTGTCGTGATGCCGAATACACTTATCGCTGCTAAATTACTTTCTTTCTTTGTCAATTTGAATTTCTGTTTCATTAAAACTATCGTGTTATTGATATAGTAAGAATGTAAGGGAAAAGTTGGTTGATTTTCCATTAGTCTGCAATCTCGAACCAATCTGATTATTAAAATAACAAAGTAAATTCATCTGGAAAACATGGTCAGTCGTAAGCCTTTTCAAAATGAAATATGATGGCATTCCCAAAGACATAAACAAAAGTATAAACGTTACTACATTTGGGGTTAGAGGGCAAATTTCAAGATTCTTGAAATGGCCGCGCTCACACTGGTGGCAGCAATGTTACCGAGAGTGTAATGAAGGTGTCACGCGCTGGGAAGGAGCTTGGGCTTTTCCTTGTTTGACAGGCTCTCTGATTTGAGAATAACTGTAAATATGGCTGTTCCTTGTTTGACAGAGGCTCTCTGGTTTGAGAATAACTATATATGGCTGTTCCTTGTTTGACAGAGGCTCTCTGGTTTGAGAATAACTGTTAATATTGGCTATTCCTTGTTTGACAGAGGCTCTCTGGAGAAGCGGACACGTGGGGGAAACACAGCTCTGCATCTCTGTGCTGAACTTGACCGAACAGAATGTCTCAAGCTTCTGCTTAGGACTCGACCTGACCTCGCCAACATTGAGAACAAATCTGGCAAAACAGCGATGGACTTAGCTAAGGAACACAACAACCACCACTGTGCTGAACTGGTAGGAGGAGGCTTGTCTGTACAACACTGCAAACTGTTTGAGAATATCCAGATGTGCTTCTGATATGTACATGGAGTCCTTGTTGATGCAGTATTAAAGTGTTTTGGATACATGTTTAATTTCAATAAAATCTTCAAATGATGTAATTTCTTATCAGGATTGTAATTTCTTTTGACAAATACAGATTATCTTTAATTGTGGTGGATAATTGTGAGTCTTCTTTTGCAGTTGAAGTCAGCCCTGACAGCGAAAAAGGACCAATTTCTTTATGTCAATGTGGACTGGGACCTTATGAATGTGAGGCAAAACAATATTCCTGCTGTTTGTCAACAATTACACCAGAAAAAAAATCAGTTCATCTGAACTACACATAAGATAACTTCTCATCCTGTTCTACAAAGTGATCTTATCGTTACTTACCCCAGTTACTCAATGTACTGAATACACAGGTTTGGACTGCAACACTACTGATCATGCAGGGCACTAGGCAATATTAAGTACAATACTTCAGCAGTGAATCCATACAACCCTATTCATGTATACTCTCTGTTGGGATTCCGGGGAAGAAGAGGCCCTAGTTACCCTAGATTGTCATGAGGTGGTAAACCTGTTGGTTAAAGCGGTTGACAGGGCCCTGTTCCTCTAAATGATCTTAGTGCTAACATGATCGTAATGCTCATGCTATTTGACTAAACGATAGCCATGCTATGATCATTTTGTGGATGAGGGGATATACCTGGTGGTTTCATTGGCTGACTGGGCCCTGTTCCACAAAGTGATCTTAGCGCTAAGATGATCGTAACTCTCATGCTTTAAGTTTGACTTACAATAGCCATGTTAGATCACTTTGTGGATGAGGTTTTATACCTGCTGCTTACAGTGGCTGACAGGGCCCTTTTCCTTGAAATGATCTTAGCGCTGAGATAATCGCAACTTTAAATTTGACTTACGATGGTCGTAGTGCTAAGATTGCTTTCATCACAACGAAGGCCTGGGTTTGACACATGACATGGATACAATGTGTGAAGCCCATTTGTGGTGTCCATCGCCGTGATATTGCTGGAATATTGCTAACAGTGGAGTAAAACAATACTCACTTGTTCGCGATAATTTCATATGCTCAATTTAATATTGCTCAAAATGGCAAAAAAACCTACTCACTCCCTCACGAAGGCAGATATTAAGTGATATTACTCAAATACACTTTGTGGTCTCAAAACTTGCAGCAACCCATTCTTGCCGTAAAAGACTCCTATGCTTGTCGTAAGAGACGACTAACAGGATCGGGTGGTCAGGCTCGTTGACTTGCTTAATGCATGTGCATGTCATCGTATCCCAATCGATGCTCATGATATCAATCACTGGATTGTCTGTTTCAGACTCGATTATTTACAGACTGCCATCATATAGCTGGAATATTGCTGAGTGCAACAAATCAAATCAAAGCTTGCACATCATGATATGGTTATTTGATACACACGTTAGATACACACGTTAGATTGACACACTATTGACAGCCTGTGTGTCCTTGCAGGAGGAGCGCCTGTACGACTACGGGGACTACAGCGATGATGACTTAGACGTAAGTAGCTGTCAGAGATTCACCTGGCTAGTCACAGGCTTACAGCAATGTCTTCCTTTATCCAAACATTATAAGGGAAATAAGATCATTTACTCTTACCATGTTCCAAATATTCATAAATTCTGATTCTTTTCATTTGTACATAACGATTAAAATAATATTTTCTCAGAGGAAAATTATGGAATTTTAGTGATTATTTAATAAAAATAATCGTTTTGTGTCTGTGTTAATATGTGACTGATTAAATCTGTTTGATAATGTTTGATAATGAAGTCATTGGTTCCAACACTCACAAACTGTTTCATCTGCAAAGAAAGTCTTGTTTTGTTGAGGCTCAGTTCTTAAACTGATAGATGAAATATTATGAAGGTAAACACAATTAAGATTGGCTCATGTTCCTTCTCCTCATTTAGACTTTGATATTGCCAATCTCATTAAAACCAGGTCTTAGTTCTCGCTACCGCTAAACAAAGATCTGAGGACATCCCATTACGGGTCACGTCAGACCGACCTGGCGAGAACTTTGACCGACCAATGGAATGACCAATCAGAAGGCAGCTTTCTCATGCTTTACGGCACAAATTTTAAATTGGCGACTACGCTTCGAAACATATTTTGACAAATTCTCGATTACAAATTTGAAACCTGAACAAAAAAACATTCTAGAATGGCTAATAGATGGTCTAGATTGTAAGGATTCAGTCGTTAAACCTGTAACTACGTTCGAAATACCCCCATGTTAAAGACTTCGAGATTGCATGTTAAGAAATCACATTCCGACTGTCACTTTCATAATCTGGTAAGCGACGCACTGATTGGTCGGATGAAAGGTCGTTCTGACGTGACCCCTAATGGGATGTCTTCAGATCTTTGTTTAGCGGTATGAGATCTATGATCTGATTTTAATGAGATTGTGACATTGCCAAATATTGGTCGCTTGTTTGGTACATGCCATGCACATCTACATAAAGATACTCTCTGTGCAGTGGGTAAGGTTTTAAAACTCTGGGACAGCTTCATTGTGAATGTCGCAGCAACTGGAATTGATTAACTGAGAAACAGATCAGGAAATCTGCCCAGTGTGTGGTCAGAAATGAAGACAAGTTAAAATGTGCTCCAGGTTACTGGTAATCTGATTGATGTCCTGAATATTTTAGACATTTTCAAGTTGCCAGATGTGTTACATTCACTGTAGCATGTGTACAGTCTCATTGATATTTGGCAGTTTTGTAGTCTAGAAGCTAAATAAAATAATTGATATTTGAAAATTTGATATTTTCATCCTCTGAAACTTTGAATGCAAAAGCATTTGACATTTGTCTACTCTTAGACTATGATCTGATACAAATTGACATTCTGGAAGTTTGAGTGAATATAAAATGAATTGTGATTGAATTATTAAGAAGCTTCCATCAACAATTAACTTGACATTTCAGAAAAGCTCAATACAGAGTAATTCTCATTATATTCTGGTAAGATGAATGGGAAGCTCTTTTACTGTTTTGTGTTGAAATTGTTGGAGATTGTGGAATGTTTTCTCGGTGAAGTTTGGGATGCTTACAGACTAAGTCTTGCGTTTTGTTCTGTTTGTTATTGGGATGTTGTTGTTCCAAGTTGTGTTCATTGCAGGACCATTTTTGCATGCATCTTTCTTCTTTGATATGTCAATCAGTGCACATAGAAATAATCTGCAGTATCTGTAATGCAAGTATGCACACACCTTTTTGTGAAATTCTTGAAGAGGGCAAGACACGGGGAAGAATGTCCCTGTTGTGTCTGATACAGCTGCCAGCGACTGAGAGAGGTGCAGTCAGTTCACTGTGTCTGTAACTGGAACTTTTACTTCCCATCCTCAAACTACCCAGGTAATCAACCCCTCTCACTCGCCATCAACCATCCCACTCCACGCCTTGGTCCACCCGCTCACCAGTCCATCCACCCTAAAACTCTCCACCATCCCTCCTGGTCCATCCATCCTCCCTCCTGGTCCATCCATTATACCACTCCCCACCCACCCTCCTGGTCCATCCATCCTACCACTCCCCACCCACTCCCCACCCACCCTCCTGGTCCATCCACCCACCCTCCTGGTCCATCCATCCTCCCTCCTGGTCCATCCATTATACCACTGCCTACCCTCCCTCCTGGTCCATCCATCCTACCACTCCCGACCCACCCTCCTGGTCCATCCACCCACCCTCCTGGTCCATCCATCCTACCACTCCCCACCCACTCCCCACCCACCCTCCTGGTCCATCCACCCTCCCTCCTGGTCCATCCATCCTACCACTCCCCACCCACTCCCCACCCACCCTCCTGGTCCATCCATCCTCCCTCCTGGTCCATCCATTATACCACTCCCCACCCTCCCTCCTGGTCCATCCATCCTACCACTCCCCACCCACCCTCCTGGTCCATCCATCCTCCCTCCTGGTCCATCCATTATACCACTGCCTACCCTCCCTCCTGGTCCATCCATCCTACCACTCCCCACCCACCCTCCTGGTCCATCCACCCTCACTCCTGGTCCATCCACCCACCCTCCTGTTCCATCCATCCTCCCTCCTGGTCCATCCATTATACCACTCCCCACCCTCCCTCCTGGTCCATCCATCCTACCACTCCCCACCCACCCTCCTGGTCCATCCACCCACCCTCCTGGTCCATCCATCCTACCACTCCCCACCCACTCCCCACCCACCCTCCTGGTCCATCCACCCTCCCTCCTGGTCCATCCATCCTACCACTCCCCACCCACTCCCCACCCACCCTCCTGGTCCATCCATCCTCCCTCCTGGTCCATCCATTATACCACTCCCCACCCTCCCTCCTGGTCCATCCATCCTACCACTCCCCACCCACCCTCCTGGTCCATCCACCCACCCTCCTGGTCCATCCATCCTACCACTCCCCACCCACTCCCCACCCACCCTCCTGGTCCATCCACCCTCCCTCCTGGTCCATCCATCCTACCACTCCCCACCCACTCCCCACCCACCCTCCTGGTCCATCCACCCACCCTCCTGCTCCATCCATCCTACCACTCCCCACCCACTCCCCACCCACCCTCCTGGTCCATCCACCCACCCTCCTGGTCCATCCACCCTCCCTCCTGGTCCATCCATTCTACAACTCCCCACCCACCCTCCCACTCCCCACCCAACCTCCTGGTCCATCCTACCACTCCCCACCCACCCTCCTGGTCCATCCACCCTCCCTCCTGGTCCATCCATACTACAACTCCCCACCCACCCTCCCACTCCCCACCCAACCTCCTGGTCCATCCTACCACTCCCCACCCAACCTCCTGGTCCATCCAACCTCCCTCCTGGTCCATCCACCCTCCCTCCTGGTCCATCCATTATACAACTCCCCACCCACCCTCCTGGTCCATCCTACCACTCCCCACCCACCCTCCTGGTCCATCCACCCTCCCTCCTGGTCCATCCATTCTACAACTCCCCACCCACCCTCCCACTCCCCACCCAACCTCCTGGTCCATCCTACCACTCCCCACCCACCCTCCTGGTCCATCCATCCTCCCTCCTGGTCCATCCATCCTACAACTCCCCACCCACTCTCCTACTCCCCACCCAACCTCCTGGTACATCCTACCACTCCCCACCCACCCTCCTGGTCCATCCATCCTCCCTCCTGGTCCATCCATCCTACAACTACCCACCCACTCTCCTACTCCCCACCCAACCTCCTGGTCCATCCTACCACTCCCCACCCACCCTTCTGGTCCATCCACCCTCCAACTCTCTTGGTCCATCTTCTGACCCTCTCCCCACCTCCCTCTCTCCCTCCTGATCCCTGTTCATCCACCCAAACCACCCTATCACTCCCATCCACCCTCCCACGGTCCCCACCCACGCTTCGACCCTCCCCACCCATCTTCCCAGTCCCCATCAACCCTCCCACTTCCATCCTCCCTCCAACTCTGAATCAACCTGCTCCCCTTCCCTCCTCCCATCTTCACAGCAGTATCACTTGACCCTGACTGGATCTGCATGTGTTTATATCAGCACACACAAACTTTACTTTTTATGAGAAATGAATGTGTTATTCCTGCACTGGTAAAGACTGTCAGCAAGGTGGATGCCTGTCCATCAGTGCCGGTGGCTGCAGCACGCCCTCTGTCAGCTGTCACCGCAGCATGTAGTCATCTTATTTTCATCTGCGCAACAAGATGAATGGTGGTGTTGTGATTTTTGTTGTGCCTAAATTATTTTTATATTTATAATTTATTGGTTCTACCAGACACATTTCAAACTACAAACTCTTTGTGTACCAGTATATAATGTGACCTTGCCTGCTTGGCACCATGGGGATTCCGGGTCAAAATCAGTCTCTAGAAACCTTGCATGTCACAAGAGGTGACTGAATGGTTTGGACTGTCAGACTTTGTGATAATATCAATCACTGGATTGTCTGTTCCCCTTATAGCTGGAATATTGCTGAGTGCAGAGTTAAAAGGTAAACATACTTACAATTTCGATAAAATTGATTCTCTTTTTTAGAATGTTAACCATTGGTTTGTTCCATAGATCTTTGTGGACCTGAACACCTAATAGTAATATAACTGTCAGGACGAATTGATTCATGTGAGCAAAATAGCTGCCCTTCAAGAGCCAAATAGGTGGTATTAGTGGTCACTGTGTGTGACCTGGGCCCCGCTCCACAAAGCAATTGTGGTGCTTAGGTGATTGTAACTCTTAAACTTTATCGTAGACTTAGAAAGACTTAGTGCTACAATTGCTTTTGTGGAACATGGCCCTGGTTGTGTATCATTGTGCCCTGACAGCATGGAATGTGGCTAGTGCTGTCTTCCACTGTTAGACTATGACAAGCCACTATGATATAGTTGGAATATTGTTGACTCACTGATTTATGAGATGAGGCATTCAGGGCTTTTGCTGTGACATATTTCAAATGGTTTGTTTAACCCTGGGACATATATGGGTTGTTTCACTTGTAATGCATCTGACACCAAACAGCGCTGAATATAGCGACATTTAAACAAAGATTTGTGTTGACAATGGTTTCTAATAGAAATAAGTACCACATTGTTTCCCTGTTCTCTTTCAGGGAACACCGGACAAGCAGAAACCAAGGTCAAGGCCACCTAGTCTGATTGTCCTACCTGACCCGGGGATGTTTGGGAGCAAAGATGGCCACTCATCTCGAGACCGGTTGGATTCGGACAGTGGCAAGCTGCCTCCTCCGCCACCTCCGGCTGTCAACAAACCAAAGAGTGAGTCTTGTATATGCTGTCAGTAATGTTATTGGAAACAGTATATAACGCCTCCACCTGTGTTAGGTGTGACAGCCCCTGCTATTGTTGGGCCCATTTCCACCAACCATGACATATGGAAATGAACAGAGTAACACTGACTGCATTCACTGGGTTGTCATGGAGTAGGGAAAACATGAACAGAATTCACAAAATATCGTTTGTTGCACATATGTTAATTGGTGGCCCATCGGTTGAAGGTGCAACAAGTTGTGTCTCTTGGCTGTGCCAGGATCTGCTGTTTGACTTTGAATAATATTATAAATTAGAATAAATTATGAACCTGTCTGTCAGCATCATGTTTGTGCTGCTGGTTTTCACTAACATGGTAAATGACTACTACCTACTTCACTTTGGGCTTTTTCACCCAAATTATTTATTGTCTTTCAATGGGATATTGCTCGGATACTGCTAAAGTTAGCTTAAAGCCGTATTCATTCACTCAATCATATAGCCAGCATTTGGCTTGAGAAGTTGTTTCAGAAAGTAACAACTGTGAATCATGTGTAGTTCAATGCAGAGATATCTGCATATCAGGCAGAAAGACAAAGCTGTCATGTCTGAAAGAATGGCTTGTCCAGGAAATCAACAACTTGTGTTCTCTTGTAATATTTGATACAGGATTTATCATTCTTTCGCTTCTAACTGTTGTGCAACAATCCTTTGTCCATCACCCTTTGTGTTGTCCAATATAGCTATAGATATCATGTTGTTATGGTGTTTTAGATATAACCTCTTGTTCCCCACAGGCGTTGATATATATACATATGTTACATCACCTTGTATTACCTACTGTAGATGGTATATGTACATATTTTACACTGTAGTTACTATCACCTCATCTCCCTACTGTTGTTGGTTTATATACATGTTAAATTGCTCTCCCTGTTTTGTAAGGCACAAAAACATACTTACTCTCTGTTTATTGTAGAGTATATCACTATGCCTAGTAAATATCGCCACAATAACAACAAGGTCAAGTCAGGTAAGTGAACTAGGCATGACCTTGTCCCTTACTGACCTAGGCATGACCTTGACCTGTATTAACAAGGCATGACCTTGACCTGCATTGCTCCATTTATACTCTTCACCACTTTTTGTCGGTCTGTTCTTGAAGCATCTTGTAAGAAGAAGCTTTCAGTGTGAGGCATGATCTAAAAGGAAAGTGAATTCAAGTTTGTAAAAATGCAAATTTGCAATTCTCATGATGGTTTTTAATCCTAGTGATTTTGTAACTGAAGAGTAAGATGCACAAACGATGCTCTGATTGCCTATAAAATATAACGTGTGCTAGCCTCGACCTGGTTGTGATCCAGCATCGTGTGCTGTCCCAGCTGAGAATGAACCGTCCTCTGTTCCTTAACATCTGTTTTCCCATACCTTACCATGAAGTATTAACATACATGTAGTCGCACGTCACAGCCTGTATATTGTGTACACACTCCTTAAAGAAAGTCCCTGGCCAGCAGTTTGAGCTGCTGGTCAAGCCATTGCAGTAACATCTCTCACTGATGACCCTTCTGTTTCCTGTGTGGTGTTCAAAACAGGAAGCTCATGCTTGTGTGATGATCATGAGAGCTGTAATTGATTCACTAAGACAGTGTTAGAAATTGGCACTAGTCCTAAAGTCCTTGCCAAACTGGCCAACAGTTAAGGTATCATAAGGACTAGTAGAAATTCGCCCTTTTTAAGGGTTTTGTTTTATGTTATCATTAAAAGGACCATTGAACTAAAGCTGTTAGTTTCTATTGCTGTAAGATTATCACAAGATGGTCTGAAAGGAAATATATTTTGTCATGTATTGGGTACTTTGTTTGGATTTTGTGGCCAACTTTCTATACCTCAGATACTGTGGTTGTTTCAAGATAGCCTACAGTTGATCACTTCCTACACCAATAGACTGTGTTGCTGTGGTTGCATGACTCCTGTGTCATCTCGTTGTTGCATGACAGTTCAGAGCTTCCCTCTAAAGCAGGCAGGAACTAGAGACATGTTCTGTGTGCATCATGTGGATGAGCTAGATACTTCAGCCTGTGTATATGTACAGGTTGAATAGATGGGTGTTGAATGTTGTCAGTCCCTGCTAGGTCTTGTGGCCACACACTGTGTGATGAGTTGATACCAACATCTGCCCTCCACTTACCTGTATACTAACCCTTTCTTTTGTGGCTGCCAGAAGTGTTCCGGTTCCATGGTAAGTACTCACTAACACTCTACCTGCATGCTAGTCACCCTCCCAACATACAACCGTTCAAATATGGTTGTTGTGTTGTGTTTGTCTGTATCTAGAACTGTTTTGGTTCAGCAGAGTGGATATGGCAATTGTGATGTGTTCGTTTATATATAGAACTGTTTTAGTTCTACTGAGTAGATATGGTTGTTGTGATGTGTCCATCTGTAACTAGAACTGTTTTAGTTCTACTGAGTAGATATGGTTGCTGTGATGTGTTTGTCTGTATCTAGAACTGTTTTAGTTCGACAGAGTGGATATGGTTGCTGTGTTGTGTCCGTCTGTATCTAGAACTGTTTTAGTTCTACTGAGTAGATATGGTTGCTGTGATGTGTTTGTCTGTATCTAGAACTATTTTAGTTCTACTGAGTGAATATGGTTGTTGTGATGTATTTGTTTATATGTAGAACTGTTTTTGTTCTACTGAGTGGATATGATTGTTGTGATGTGTCCGTCTGTATCTAGAACTGTTTTTGTTAAACTGAGTAGATATGGTTGCTGTGATGTGTCCGTCTGTATCTAGAACTGTTTTAGTTCTACTGAGTAGATATGGTTGCTGTGATGTGTTTGTCTGTATCTAGAACTATTTTAGTTCTACTGAGTGAATATGGTTGTTGTGATGTATTTGTTTATATGTAGAACTGTTTTTGTTCTACTGAGTGGATATGATTGTTGTGATGTGTCCGTCTGTATCTAGAACTGTTTTTGTTAAACTGAGTAGATATGGTTGCTGTGATGTGTCCGTCTGTATCTAGAACTGTTTTAGTTCTACTGAGTCGATATGGTTGCTGTGATGTGTCCGTCTTATATAGAATTGTTTTTGTTCTACTGAGTTGATATGATTGTTGTGATGTGTATGTCTATATCTAGAACTGTTTCAGTTCTACTGAGTGGATATGATTGTTGTGATGTGTCCGTCTGTATCTAGAACTGTTTTTGTTCTACTGAGTAGATATGGTTGTCCTGATGTGTCCGTCTGTATCTAGAACTGTTATGGTTCTGAGTAGATACGGTTGTTTGTTTTTGTATTTACTGAGTGGATATATTCTACTGTCTGCTGTCCTTTATTTCCATGACTTGCTGCAATTGATTCCTATCTTGTCTGTTTTTCTTACATTAGTTGGGGATGGTCTTTTGGATAGGGTGTTTTCCTCATCATATGGATTACCTGGCTCAGTTACCCACATTCACTGAGGAATATTGCTGAAAGGAGCATAAAACCACACTCACTCCACCTTGAACCTCATTATATCTATATTACCCAGCAGTTATAGACAGTATATCATTACATGACCATGCAGGTGGCACAATATATCATAATATTGCACCACCCAGCTTTTGGTGAAGTTATCCTCTAGTCTACAATACGTATGCGTATCAGCCTCCTTCATGAAGGTGTTATCTTAGTGTTAGATGAAGGAGACCATGCATATATACAACAGGGCCCTGCCTCACTTATTTGCCTCTACAGCCTTGTTTAAGTTCTTTAGCAGATATTGTCCGACTGATATGAAATTATGCTCTAGTTCTGAATTGTTCTGTGTTGGTTGGAATTCTTGAATTCTCAGCAGTTTTGTGAGCACTGGTACAAATCACACGTTTTTGTGTGTGTTGTTTCTTTATGTTTTATGTTTTAGATATCTTTTCAATACAAGTAACGTTTAACGAAAATACACTGCGAAAATATACTTTTTACATATTTTATTCATATTCTCGTTTTTAGGTACATGATTCTATCACTGTGTGTGAGAGTGAGTGAGTGAGTGAGTGAGCGAGCGACAGGAATCTGAATCTGTATGCTTATACGTTATCACTATCAATTTGTCGTAATCATCGATTTGTGGACATGACAGGATTTTATGAGTATTGCAAAATATATCTTGCCGTAAAGACATATAGGAGGTAGTTTTTGTTTGTTTGTTTTTTGTAACGGTGGCAAGTCAAATTCATACTGAGATTGTAAGACCATATTCTTGCTGATGGCAGTGTTTCTTCATTGAAATATGACATGATAGATGGGGTAGGGTGTAAATGTTCTCAGCTGACATTTTACTTATGGTGTTTCTTCATTTAGAGTATTGTTTTCGATAATTTAAAAAAGGATCAAGTTTCATTATTTGGATCCCAACTTCAGATTGCTGTGAGCTGGGTCACAGTACTGTAGAGCAGTGTTGGAGCATGTGTGTAGATGAAGGGTCTAGGGGCTGTACTGCATGAGGCTCAGTGCATGTGTGAGAAATCAGGTCTACACAGGGATGTAGACAATCAGTGTAGAACGACATGTCAGCAGGAGGGTCTGTCTGTGATGTACACTCTGTGTGTGTCTCCCGTTCAGATTTAGAAACACTGTAGTCACTGTAAGTGCCCTGGGCATAAGTCTGTGTTAAGGTATGGGAGTTACCATATCCTTTTGTAGAAAGGGCCCCTGTAGAGATTAAGAAAAATTTGTGCTTATTTAAACCATGCAAGTGTTTAAATTTGATATTTGAGATCTACCTGGAGAGAACAAACTGAGTTTAAACATCACTCTAACTATACATTTTGTGATTAAAGGTTTGCTAGACAAGTGGATTTACAGCATGACAGGAATCTCTGCCTCAGCATGAAGATTCATCTCAGGCACTTACTTATTTTGCACCATACACTGAGTTCCACCCGGCAAAAACTCACTAGCTATAAAAGTGCTGATGTTAAGCAATAAACACTCCATGTAATGTTATATAATTAGGAACTGTGGTAGTTAAGGAAGTTAACTGTCGTCCTATCTGCGTCTTTGTGTCCTTTGTAGTTCCTGGCCTCAATGCTCCGAACAGCCATGGAGGGTCGAGTCAGAACGGAACAAACACATCCTCCTCCTCGACTACTCCCCCAATACAGCAGTCACATGACCCGCCGCTGCCTCAGAGTCGGCCCAGCCTGCCGCCACTGCCACCGCGGAGTAAGAAACCTCCGCCCCCTCCTCCCCCAACGACAGCAGCTCCGGGTCACGTGAGGAATCGGTCAGAACCAGATGCATCCTATCTTGTACACAAGCGTACAGCCTCTGACCCCCCTCCAAGACCAGCCCCTCCTGACTTCAGGAACACCATCAATATCCCTGCAGGTGAGGAAGGAGGAAGCTCAGCAGGAAGCTTATTCAGGGGTGAGAATCCTCCACTGATCCGTGAATTTCAGCGAATTTCAGTGACCACAAATATGTTAAAATCTGATGGCTCCCCCCATAACTCCCCTCAAAATTATGGACCATGTTCCATTGCAAAGAAGTTTCAGCTGAAAGTGAAAATAAACATTCTCATCCCTGCTTATAAACCTCTGGTAACATCACCCGTACATATTACAACTGTGGTCCGTGGAAAGTGTGTTTCAGATTTTTCTTTCGGTTTATGAGTCTGATAAAAAATGCTCCTTGGGTTTGGTTGAGAAAGAAACTTTGGGTTGGGAAAAACACTCGGGTCTCGGCAACTCCTTCCCCATTGTGTTGACATTCTCAACCAAACCTCTTTTGTCTCACATTCTTGACAAGAGGTGGCATGGTTCTGTTTAGGTTTAGAATCTATTTTCTGGATTAACACATGTGCTGGTATGGCAATTCACATTTTGTTATTTCCTATGATGTTAAGAATTGTTAACTCCCTGTATCTGTTGATTGCAACTTTTATTCAAATCTTGGTTCACATCAAAAGAGTTGTCAGTCGTCTTTGCTGTCATCAGGGTTGGAAACAGAGCCTACCTTCAGTCTAAAACAGGTATTATTGTATTAACAGGGCCAGTTACCTTTAATGCAAGTTGACCACATATGATGCAAAAAACCTGATGGCTGACTGCAGTTTTTGATAACATTCCCACTCCAGAACCTATAGAGTTCTTCTTTTTTTTTGTGTGTACACATGTTGTTTGTTTGTTGTTTAACGCCGCACTCAGCAATATTCCAGCTATATGACACGGTCTGTAAATAATCAAGTCTAGACCAGACAATCCAGTGACTGACATCATGAGCATCGGTCCAAGTAATTGGGATACGATGACATGCATCAACCAAGTCAGTGAGCCTGACCAGCCGATCCCGTTAGTCACCTCTAACGACAAGCATAGTCATCTTTTACGGCAAGCATGGGTTGCTGAAGACCTCTTCTACCCCGGATCTTCACGGGTCATGTACACATGTAACATACTGGCATTGTTTGCTACAGGTGCCAAGTTGGTGCTGCCCTTGCCTACGGATGGTGACAAGAGGTGAGTTCCTTTAGTAAAAATATAGCATTTAACATTTAACATTATTGTTGGATACAGTGACTTTGCAAATTATAGACATCAACCTTTAAATGGAGTTTTTAAATATCACTTATTTTTTAAGGTGGTTAATTTGAACCTGTTTTCTACTTTCACAGAGGACCTTCCAAACCACTGAGTCGACAGAGAGGTAAGCAGAGCCATCACTAATTCATAATCCAGCATGATTCTGGAAGTCATGGCAAGATCAGATATATGTTGTCACCGCCATTAAAGCACCCCTGTTTATCCACACATGACTCTTCATGTTGACAACCAGGGTTCATTCTGAATAGGGGCGGTCGGGTAGCCTAATGGTTAAAGCGTTCGCTCGTCACGCCAAAGAACCGGGTTTGATTCCCGACATGGGTACAATGTGTGAAGCCCATTTCTGGTGTCCCCCGCCGTGATATTGCTGGAATATTGCTAAAAGCGGCGTAAAACCATACTCACTCACTCACTCACTCATTCTGAATAGCTCTGAAGTAATTGGCTCTTCTGATTGGATTGATTCTTATCTTGTTACAGCGTTACAGTAACATTAACTGCTTGTGGAAGATCTTCCTGTATGATAATATTTGAGTGTGTTAAGTCCTGTGAATGTTTTGCTGACTTCTGAACATTAATACCACACAATTGTTTTAAGGTGACTGAAAAAAGTTGTATCTTAGTTTCTGTTGAAGCAGATTTGTATCTTAGTTACAGTTTAAGGTGACTTGTATCTTAATTTCTCATGGGAATGGCACATGATGATGCACATGATCATTGCAGATGAGGCTCGGTTCAGTAGAAGCCATTCAATCGATCCACCCGATTCTGAGAGTAGGGATACTGCACCGCCACCTGTTCCCAACCCAAGACTCAAGGTGAGTTCAATTTGTTCAACGTGCTTCTCATTCAGTAAAACCTGTTCCCAAGTAGTTGGTTGGTTGGTTTGTTGTTTAACGCCGCACTCAGCAATATTCCAGCTATATGACGACAATTTGATATATTAGGGCGATAAATCAATCAAATCCTTTTTTACGCAGAAATATGTGGATTGTTGTAAAAGCACATATGTCTGTACTGTTAAATTATATTTAAGTAGATAGTGATAAAATTTCAACATTCCGTCCATATGTATAATTTGAAATGCGACTAGAAAGGTCTCAGCTCTCTTTTAAATGATTAAAACCTACATCAGCCCCCCCCCCCCCTAATTGGGATCAATGACATGCATCAACCAAGTCAGCGAGTCTGACCACCCGGTCCCGTTAGTTGCCTTTTACGACAAGCATAGTAGCCTTTTACAGCAAGCATGGGTTGCTGATGACCTACTCTACCCCGGAATCTAGACAATTGTGAACATATCCATGTCGGCATGCATATATTGGCTAATTGTGAACATATCCATGTCGGCATGCATATATTGGCTTTTGTTCAACATTTTGAAACAGCAAAAGCTCATCATATTTGTCAATGTTGTAATGTTGCAGACTCGGAAGTCCTCCATTGGCCGCAGACGATGTCGGGCTCTGTATGACTGTGATGCTGACAATGATGATGAGCTGACCTTCAAAGAAGGGGAGGTAATTGTGGTGTTGAAGGAGGAAGAGGAAGAGTGGTGGGTGAGTATTGGTTTTACATACAGAATTTGAAGTTTGTTTCAAGAATAATATTCTTTTCCGTACGTTTCAGTCATGATATCCTATTGTAAAAATATGAAAAGATGAAAGCTCCACAGTTTTCGTGACCATTTCGTCTAGGTCCAGCAAATTAGTTTGATCCTACAGCAATTAATCATATCTATTTCTCTATTGACTCTATTTCAAATTCACCACCACAAGTATTAGTTGGATATTCAAGTTTAGAAAATTTGAAATCCTAGATAAATCCCTGATGGTGGAACATATTTGTTTAAAATAATTGACTGTTTCCAGGAAGGAGAGGTTGAAGGAAGCCCTGGGCGGCGAGGACTGTTTCCCGTGAGCTTCGTGAACATGATTCCGGAGGGATGACGTTAGCTGACAACTAGGCTCCAATATGCACATACACATGCAATACAGCACCCCCTACTGCCAGACACAGACCAGGGGAGATAACTCCCTCAGCTTTTCTACACCACTAGGAACAGACATTTTGGAAGTTTAGTGAGGAGTTGCAGTGTTAGTATTGTGGTAGGATACATGACTCATGTAACCTGTGGAAATAAATCAGACATTGTAGCATTGTGCTGAACCACTCTGTAATAGGATATTGAAACACTGTATTCAACTTGTCATGGACCTGAATCTTTGCTTCGGCTCAGTTGAGAAATAGAAAATCTCACCCTCTTGTCTTTTGATATCAAATACATCAAAATGAGTTGATAGAGGAGTTTTTAACTTTTATCGACGAGGGTTGATATATTTGATGTCAAAAGACACTTCGGTTAGATTCTATTTATCATCCAAAATCTTTCTTCGACTTTATCAGTTTGTATACAATAATAACCCGTGTCTGGAGTGTAAAACATAACCAGCTTCTTTGGCAGAGAGGCTAGTGATGTCATTTTATATTGTCAGCAAAACATTGTGATGCAATTTTATTGTCGTGACATCTCCTGCGGAAGCCAGTTTTGGTTGATAAATGTACTTCGTGTACAGTCAGATCTCAAGGATGTCTGCTGGAATGTCCTCTGCTTGTGTTCGCAGCTCAACTCAGTCATAACTAGACCAAGAGTCAAATTGCTAAATGTATGGTATAGTGTATTAAACGAATAGGTACAATTATTGTTTGGACATGTTGGTCATTGTTTATGTCAAAAGGCCTTTGCACTATGATGTCACTTCATTGTTGCAATGTTGTGTGTCTTCATAGCACTGTATCATGCCATCGATGAAATGCCACTGAGGGAAATATGAACATGCACATAATTGTACTTTATCTAAAACATTAGCGCATATTTATTTATGGATGAATTAGTTAAATGTTAAGTCCTTTTTAGTGTATGTATTTGCAAAACTGTTAAAATGGTGACTTATACCCCTACACATTTTAGAAAAAAAGTGTGAATTTTGTGTGATGGTTACTATTGTATAAACCTAGTAGTGTAGAATAAGGGATTATTTCATTTAGACAGTATAAGGTATCATTTAGATATATCTAACTTAGAAAAAGTTAAATCCTATTAATGCAGACCAGCAAACATCCTTGATCACAGTTAAGTCTTGTGTAGAGAATATCTGATGCTTACACAAGTGTGAGGCACTTTCTGAGAGGTGACAGGTTGAATATAGTGTCTTCAGCTGTCTATCAGTGTAATCTGTGTGTTGGATACCGTGAAAATTTAGATAATCGTTGAAGTGACTATATGTCTTGTAATGGTTAGTCTTATTGGTAGGTAAGTCATGTCTTTCAAATGGAGCTATAATCTACATGTGTATTTGTTTTCAACATATTTGAAAGAATGGAACATTCCTCTAAAACAGCTGAGTTTTCAAAGATAACCAACCCACACACATTCAGCACAAATGTAGATAGCAGTGTCCAGGTTTGCACTGTGGCTGTTAGGATATTACGAATCCAAGACATTCAGTCCACAATATTTCCGAATTAACCAAAGATGTAGAAATGTAGCTCTTGTGATGACTCAAGTTAGAACATATCTGAAAGCAAATTCTTGTTATTTGATGCAGTTTAGACTTAAAATCCTCTGTACTTGTCAGTTCATCAGATGTCTTATTACACGACAAATGTCTAGTTTCACATTAAGATAGTCAAACAGTCAACTGACATTTGTTTATATGATGTGATTTGTATTTGATGTTTAGGTTCTTGAGGCAGTGCATAGGAAGTGTTTATGAATAGGGCTGTAACGATATGTCATGCAGCATTGACCTTGAACGTCAAGTCACAAAATAACACATGTACCATACATGAAAAGCTGATACATGAGAACACTGTTGTCTTGTTTAGGAGCAGTATTGAGTCTTCCAGTGGAAAGACTGAGGATCTAACAAAACAAATGCAGTAAACATCAGTAATAGTCTACAAAATAACGTTGTCCTTTTGTATATTCTGACCGTAATAGTTTTTTGAATGAATTTTAATACCATACGATATTATCATAAAGCATGTCATGAGGACACCAATGGTCACATCCAACTGGTCGCAGATTATTTTGGACTAGTGGTTATATAAAATAACTTGATTAGGGGTTAAAACAAGTAGTCTATCTTTTTCGGACTAATGGACAAGTAGCGGTGTCTGTTCCCGTATGTACTGTTTTTTACAATTCACAAACTTATGATACATATTGTCACACAAAGTATTGCAGTCCAACAACACCTTGGTCATCGTTACAGCCCTGTTAAAGACAGTTGGAATTGAGGGGAACAAAATATTTCATTGTTTGTATGAACAATGTAAGATACAACTAGTAATGTGTGATGGTGCTATTGTAGACTAGTTGTGTGTATACTAGTATCTCATTTACCTTTGAGGATGTAGCTGAGACTAATATTTGAAACCAAACATGAAATTCAAACTCAAGCATGATGTGCCACTACAACATTTAACATACAAATCATTTTTTATTATATCATTGTATGTGATGACTATGTTTTATACAGTAGCTGAACAAATTTTATCATGTACTAATTAACAGTAATATTTATAGTAAAGTTTAATTTTGTAGTATTAATTTGAAATGAAATTGTGGTAATTTGAAAACTTGCATTACTGAGCTAACATTTATGGTTGGTGTCTCGTAGTGTTAATATGTATTGTATCTTAACTCTTATTGCATAGTAGACTGGTGTTTTCAGCAATGACAGCAAATTTGTACGAAGCCTGAGAATGTATCAGGTTTGGTAGCATCAGTGTACTACCAGAAACTCAATATAGTGTTTAGTTCATAGTCAGTACTTCACGGTTTGTATACACTGTGTTTCTCCATCATCTGTGAATACATGGGGCTGATATGCAGTTTAGTATGTGGTAACATTTGTCAGTCTAGTCGGCTAATTAGGTCTTGTATAACTCACGGAAGTGAAATAACCCAATTATTGCCTGACATCTACTGACACAATGACCAGTGAGAAACTTTGCCGTTTGTGCGATTAAAAACTGAGCTCTCTTTGATCTTGAGTACAATGTGTGAAGCCCATTTCTGGTGTCCCCCGCCGTGATATTGCTGGAATATTGCTAAAAGCGGCGTAAAACCATACTCACTCACTCACTTTGATCTTGATGGTTTTTCCCTTGCTGGAACCAGATAGCCGCTTAATTTGTTGGTTAATAGCAGCCACTGCACCTCATGTCGGCCCTATGTATTCATGGGGGATGGAGGACCATAGTGTATACAAACCTAGGACGTATTGATGATGAGTTCATATACCATCACTGTGATACAGAGGACAGAGAAACCTTGTTCACTCAAGACTCCCAGGGACCATTAAATGTATTTCTTGTTAGTTGTCGTTGAAGACCAGCAGGGGGCATGGATGGCCCAGTCATCATTGTGCTGTGCAGAGTTGTGTGCCAGAAACATGGGTTCAAATTCCAGGTTCATCCTGGTTTTCTGGTTTGTCTGCACCATATCCATGCTTGTGGGTTTCACCGAAATGGTAAATGTCAAAGTCCTGTTTCACTTCGGGCTTTCCTCCAACATCAAGCTGACACGCCACAATATGACTGAAAACTTGTTCTAAGAGGTGTTAGCCAAATTTACTCATTGAAGACAAGATGTATACTGACATTAAACCATCAAGATGACAAGGGTTCTATGAAAGCATGAAGTAACTTTGTATTCTGTTAGAGGGGTAGCCAAGGGGCTAAAGTCTTTGCTATTCACACTGGAGGCCTGGGTTTGATTTCCAAAATGGGTACAATGTGTGAAGTCTGTTTCTGGTGTCCCAGCTGGGATATTGCTGGAATATAGTTGTAAGTGGTGTAAACATATTCTCACTCACCCATATGTCTGTTTCACGATAGGGGAGTTTGAGTTAACAAGGTTTCTGTGAACTTTAAAGTTACATATGTGGAAAATGAATTTCTTTTTCTTCTACAATTTCAATTTATTTTTGCTTTCAACGACTCGTCTATTCCTGGAGCAGTGTGTATAACTGTACAGACGTGGTATTCTGTTTATACTGTATATAGCCATCATAACACATATCTAACTTTTACTTCATCTGCTCGGTGGAGCAGTCATATCACTCTGTATCACCAAGTCGGATTATACTTATACTGTGAAATCCCTTATGAGGTATTACCGGTAGATATACCTATGATAGACACTGATGTATACAGCATTACAATGATTGGTTTCTGATGATTATGTGACGAGTTATGTTTGTGAACATTGTTTTCATAGGATTGACAGTCCCTGCTAGGTCTTCCCATCGATTACTGATATCATGGGAGATGTTTTTACAAATGTTTCGATTCTTCCTAATTGCCTGTATTACTGAACTGTGGTCATTAACATCCTCGATTGTCAAAGGTAGAATATCTGCATTCTGTGTTGATATTACCCTGGACCCATTTGTTACCATAGTGATATCAACGTCTTCATCTCTAGCTCATGGGAGTAATCTGATTGGATGGCTATTGAGAGTTTCTTCTGTCAATTTGAGTTGAAAACGAAGCCATGGTAGCGATTGGGTCAAGTGTATTTATCATTGTAGCTTGAAGATAGGTCATGAAGTGCAGCAGTATGCCATGTAGTTTGTTGTGTAATTGGTCTCTGGCAATATCATAGCATGCCTTGGTGTTCATACTACGATAATTATGCGTTTCTGACAATACCTCTATACTGCCACCGTCATGTGTGTTCAGCTTTCAGTTCTACCAACAGTGGATGATGTATACATGTTCAGGGCAAGTGATCAGAAAACATTTCCTTATCGGGGATATATACTTTAGTTGTACTGTATGGGTCTTTATCAGCAGCATTGATTAGGTTCTCAGTCGATAGCCATGTTGCTTTGTCCCCACACAATACAACGTACGATGCCACTCCATGTATACAGAACTACATGCACCATGGGTGGGAATAATATGGGTGGGGTATATGACACTGCATTAAAGAAGACACATGGTGGTAATAATAATAATAATAATGCATTTATAGAGCACCTGACTTCCAACTTAGATAGGTGCTCAGTGGTGCTATATTATATTATTATTCTGCTCAATTTTTGAGTTTGCACCCCAATTTCATTCTCAGCTCCCTGGGGAGTATACAACCCGAGTTGCTAGAAGTTAAGTCACATTACCATTCACTGCTGAGTGGCATTCTTTGAACAAAGTAGCCTTGATAAGTCTGATGGGTAAAACCTGGAAGGGGTTGAGATAGTGTCGGAGGAGGTGTGGATCATCGAATGACGGTGTAACACAGAGAAGTAAGGTATAGATTGGCCTTATGGGTAGGTACCTGCAATTGGGTAGGGTGGTGTTTGATGGGGCATACATTGACACAATGTTAGAGGGACAGGGTGCCAGGGTAGATCAGTCTGACGGTCGAGTGTCTCTCTACTGCAGGAGTGAGTTCATTGTACGTTGTTGCTCTGTGAGTGTGGTGTTGCTGTTGCGTGTGATGTTGCTCAAGTTGTTCCAGTGCTAGTCTGCACCTTAACAGGTGTTTGTAAATAGCTGTCTACTTCTCAAGTGCTAGTATTGAATTACAGCAACGCTACTTGCAATAACAGATACCTCTGCTTTACGTTGTAATTACATCCGCCATTTTGTGCTCTTTTATGTTAACATGTTTTATTTTTTTTGTTTTCTGTATGAAACATGAAATATGACAATGATGGGTATTGATGAAAGTTAACTGGCTTACTGCTTTAAAAAAACCTGAGGCTATAAAGTGCAATATGTTTTTCTTGAAATATTCAATTTCATTCATAAAATCTTATTTGGCATAATATATGCACTATCATTGCAATAACATTTAATGTTTTATGTCTGCAGTGTTGAAATAACTGCTTCTAAGCAAACAAAACAGATGATAATGAGCTTCTAATTTCAGTGGGTACAGTCATTATACATACTTTGACATTGTCGCACTGTGCTGAAGGCATTATGGTTCATATTCAGTGCCAGACCCAGTAAGCATGAAAACATTTAACTGGAATGCTGCTTGTGTTTATCTACTTCAGTTAATCTTTAACAGGTAAGTCTATGTACAAAGAGACAGTGCCTCAATAGGCTCCAATCAGTGGTTAGACTGAGGCTGTCTGCATGAAGCTTGGTCCCTCTTTCAGGGCATGTAACATGGTGAAACCTTCCACTTGCACTCAGTGTAGTCCACTGACCGCATGAAAGGTTACAAAACATACACTTTCTTTCTTTACAGAGTAGGATAAGGAACAGGTTCTTCTGGTAACGTTATCGCTTAAGCTAGAACGCAATCCCACCCCAGTTGTGACAGCACTTCAGATTGTGTAAGCGTAGAAAGTAGATGGTAACAAAGTTGTTCTTCTCTTTCTGTAAAGTCTGTTCCACAAAGCAGTTGCAGTATTTCACATTGTGTTTAACATTTAGTCTGTTTAAACATTAGGTGAAAACGATGTGTGTTTTATTACATAAAGAAAAGGCTGCCATTAATTTTTGCTGTAGCGTCTTTGCTGTGAAATAAGCTTTGTGCTCTGACTTAGGCAATGTTATAATGTCTGTGCTGACATTGTCAATGTTATAACACCAGATCCGTGCTGACACTGTCAGTGTTATAACACCAAGTCTATGCTGACATTGTCAGTGTTATAACACCAGGTCTATGCTGACATTGTCAGTGTTATAACACCAAGTCTATACTGCATCAGTGTTATTACACCAAGTCTATGCTCGTTTAGATATTATGATAAGTGCTGAGATTGTTTTGTGGAATAGGACCAGTACCAGTACCAGTACCAGTCATGATACTGAAACATTGACTTAAACATTGATGATGGATGTTCAGTACATGTTATTGTTGCTGTAGTTCGACAAGGCCATGTATATTGTAAGATATTAGCGGTTTGACTGTAATCTGTTTCTAATTAAGTGCTAACACGTATATACATTCAGTGTTTGTATTTCACTGCAGCTGTGAACCAACAATTATGTGCTATTTTTCTCTGGTTACATGTTGATATGTAGAGTATATTGTTGACAGTTGTTACTATGGTTACATGAGAATGTTGTGGCTGGCGACCTGTGAGATACCATGTGAAAGTTACATTGACTAGAGAATTTCTGGAATAGTTGTAGGCCTGAAAATCAGTATTTAGTAATCTACTGTCATTAGAATGGAAAACATATATATATATATCTTACTTTTAGTTAACAAGGAGAAATATATTTGTTTCAGGATTTTAAACCTTCATCATAAATCTATGAATTACTGAAATTTATTTCTTGGAATTTATGTTTGAAACCACTTAATGGTGTATGTGACCCTTGCTTTGTGGCTCAATGATATTACTTGAACTTGAAAAGACAAGTTTATGGTAGATTTTACTGACAATCTTGATTTCAGCACATTGACTTCTGTCACAGGTATAAGGTGGGTTCTGAAGTCCATTTGTCTGTTGGTGATGTGAGCAGACTATGAGTAGATATGGACGAAGCCTAAGACACAAGGATGAAAACTGAATGACTTGGTGGTTGGATAGTTTGTTTCTGGGCATTCAACTGCATAAATTTGCATGATACCATTACCTTACACTTTCTAATGTGGTTACAGGCTGTTAATATGAAAAGATTTGGTAAACAGTTAGTACTTTCCATTGGTTGCACTGGTCGTGAAAATAGGATTCTATTAATGAAAGGTTATGGCCCTGCGTTTGGTGATGTTTCATTAGATGCTGTTTCTGTACAACTACTAACAACTCCAGTTCAATTCAGGATGGAAGAGGTGGACCAAGATTGACTACATCATGTTTGATGATTGTGATATTGTTGATATTTTAGTGATGAAGACATTCTAAGATGGATGATGTGTTTGATGTTGTGCATTGCCATGTGATGGTACACAGGGAGAAAGAGGGCCTCTAAGAGGTGGTGGTTCAACCTTTCAGATCAAAGATGAATATGATGTTTGAAAAGATGTGTGTTATAATGACATTGAATGTATGAAGTTCAACATTTCATTGTAAGAAAACATCCATGTTTCACATTCTCTCGAAGGTCAAAACCAGTTTTTGCAGTCTCTCTTTCTCCCAGAAGTACAGAATGCTTGAAGCTGTTCGTGTTTTTTGTACAGAAAGACCATGTTTAAGCCATTGTTCAGACTGGTCGCCTGTACATTATATCGTCAGTCACGCCATGACACAACTTATCGTTAATGCACAATGTACATAAATAGGTCAAGGTCGTCTGACACCATAAGCACAAAGGTCAAGGCCATTTGTATCGAATGTCTGTTATTGTGCCAGATTAGACTGCTATCTAGAGGTATTTTAGCTTAGAACCAACCAATAAACTGCCTGACACACCAATGTTTTTGTTTTTGCTTGAAATGATCATGGATCCCTTATTTGTTTACTTGCTTCTTCCAATGAATGTGAAAGTGATAGGGCTTATATTCCATGAAAACTTGTAATCCTGACGTGTAAAGAAACCCTTTATACTAAAAGTTGAAGGTGTTTGGTTACATTGCACAAAAACAACCAGCACCTCATACCACAAAGCGATTACAGTGGTAAAACTATCATTTGGTTGATATAATTAAGGGTGTTAAGACATTTGTGGCACAAAGATTGCTTTGTGAAAAGAGCTGTAGGTCATTACCTACACAAGTGCACACCATGCCAGCTACAATAATTATGACAGATCATTGGTGTGAGGCCCAAGTGAAATGAGTTGTAATTTCAGCAGCGTGAGTACAAATTTGGATGAATTACAGCTAATTTAGCTTTTTCATTTGGGTAATTGAGCAACAGGACTCTCTCCGTGGAGGCTTCAGGTTAGAACAGGTGCCCGACATGCACTCAATTCTTCCTTGTCATTGGAGGCGACAAGATTTGATCACGTGGTGAATCTTGCTATGTTCAATGCAGGTCATTGTACCCTAGCTGATAGCATGCAACATTGGTCACGATATCAACCACTGGTTTGTCTGTTTGTATGGCTTATTTATTGCTGTGCTGTTATTTGTTTGTGATTTTGTTTGTTGTTTAACATGGCACTCAGCAATATTCCAGCTGTATGACGGCTGTCTGTAAATATTCAAGTCTTGACCAGACAATCTAGTGATTGATATCATGAGTATTGATCTATACAATTAGGATATGATGACATTCATCAACCAAGTCAGCCAGTGTGACCATCCGATCCCATTAGTTGCCTCTTAAAATTTGTTATGACAAACATGGGTTGCTGAAGACATTCTCTACCCGGATCTTCATGGGTCCTTCCAATCTGTTAAAGGGGGATTATGCTTAATAGTCTGTTGCCAATTTTCACTGTAGGTCTAGACTCCGTAGACCATGTGAGTGAGTGAGTGAGTATGGTTTTATTCCGCTTTTAGCAATATTCCAGCAATATCATGGCGGGGACCCATGGAAAATGGGCTTGACACATTGTACCCATGTGGGGAATCGAACCCAGGTCCTCAGCGTGACATGCCAACTCTTTAACCACTAAGCTACCCCACCGCCCCGTGAAACTGAGAAATTGACTCTGTAGATTGACTGGTAGCCTTCGCTACCTGCTAGATCAAAACACATAATAAACTTTGAGTCAGGAGTTTTGAATTACATCCCAATTGCAAATTTATCACTAAACAATAAGTAAGTATGCATAGTTGGGTAGCTTGGACGATAAAGCCTTCTGATTTGATTACCAACATTGATGCCATGGACAGGATATTGCTAAAGCGATGTAAAACAAGTATTTGCCACAGAGTGACGAAATATCCCCCGCCTGTACACCATAGTACCAAATATGAAGACAATCCAGCGATTAGTTCTTGAGATATTGTGGCAACACCGTTTTCCAACTCCAAAAACAGATTTGCCTGCTGTGACCTTGAAAATGGGGTCAAGGTCACCAAATCTGACAGGTGTATGCGGTGTCTGTATATACACTATAGTTCCAAATATGAAGACAATCCAGCGATTAGTTCTTGAGATATCGCGGCAACACCGTTTTCTAACTCCAAAAGCAGATTTGCCTGCTGTGACCTTGACAATGGGGTCAAGGTCACCAAAACCGACTGGTGTCTGCGGTGTCTGTATATACACCATAGTTCCAAATATGAAGACAATCCAGTGTTTAGTTCTTGAGATATTGCGGCAACACCGTTTTCCAACTCCAAAAGCAGATTTGCCTGCTGTGACCTTGACAATGGGGTCAAGGTCACCAAAACCGACTGGTGTCTGCGGTGTCTGTATATACACCATAGTTCCAAATATGAAGACAATCCAGTGTTTAGTTCTTGAGATATTACGGCAACACTGTTTTCCAACTCCAAATGCAGATTTGCCTGCTGTGACCTTGACAATGGGGTCAAGGTCACCAAAACCGACTGGTGTCTGCGGTGTCTGTATATACACCATAGTTCCAAATATGAAGACAATCCAGTGTTTAGTTCTTGAGATATTGCGGCAACACCGTTTTCCAACTCCAAAAGCAGATTTGCCTGCTGTGACCTTGAAAATGGGATCAAGGTCACCAAAACCGACTGGTGTCTGCGGAGTCTGTATATACACCATAGTTCCAAATATGAAGACAATCCAGTGTTTAGTTCTTGAGATATCGCGGCAACACCGTTTTCCAACTCTAAAAGCAGATTTGTCTGCTGTGACCTTGAAAATGGGATCAAGGTCACCAAAACCGACTGGTGTCTGCGGAGTCTGTATATACACCATAGTTCCAAATATGAAGACAATCCAGTGTTTAGTTCTTGAGATATCGCGGCAACAAACAGGTGGGACGTACGGACGGTCGTGAATACTATATCCCCCGCTTCGCGCTTTCGCGCGGCGGGGGATAACAAAACTCACCATCTCACCCACTCAATTCACCAATTCAATGACCACAAAACAAGATGATTTTGTGAAAAAATTTAATTTTGAGCTATGAAAATGTCAAAACATTACAGTGTAAGCTCTGACCTAAACAGAACAATAAAACCAGCCAGGTAATGCTACAGCGGCAGAATGTCTCAGTACATGACTAGCCAGCAGTCCGCTGTCAGCAAGGGAAACAAGGGGAGGTACAGAGACACACTGCTCCAAACTTAACATCTGTGAATACAGTGAACCTAGTTAATCTGATTGAAATCCTTTTCCAGGGGACCATCCGCATTTACAAATTTCTGGATTAACAAATCATTGTACACAGTAACATCTGTTTTATATTACCGGTATATAGACATTCCCAACAGTAACCATCTGGAAAGTAGGATTTTCCAGATTAACAAGGTGCCACTGTTCATATATAATTAAAAGTGCTTCAGGACTTAATGTGCGTCATGATGGCAATGCCCTTGCATTAGTCAATAAGTGAATAAGAAAACCTCAAACTGTCAACCTAGTGACAAGGAGCACCTGGGGGTACATAAATCACCAATTATTGTGTATAAATCTTGTGCCTGAAATGGAGATTTTTCATGTATGTTCACTCCTCTGATTTTGATATGATATACCTTCACAGTTGTACGGACTGTTAACTGCAGACATTAGCTCACCATCATGGAGCTAAAGCGGCTCCGGTCGTGGAACGTTTCCTGTCACAGTTCATGCCCTCCTATTAATGCTGAATATGACTAGGTACATTACAAGGTTAGAAGTTGAGATTTATTTCTAAAACTCTATATGTAGAACCATTACTGAAACCAATGCTTAAGGAACAAGTTGGGAAGGAAATATACTTGTCTTGTTCCATTTGTTTCCATCAAAGCATAAACCAAACTGCTAGAATTCCTGTTTCTGTCAGCAGGGCAATGACACAGCAGATTACATGGGCTCATTAGGAACAGACTGAAGTGATAAACAATATTCAACCAACCATGCCTAGTTTACTGTCGAGCTCACTGATAGGCGTTCATTTGATTCAGTTAAATATACAGCAGGATGATGCTCACAAATTGCAGAAATAACACTTAAGCTATTGCATAACAAAGCCTCTACATGGCAAGTAAGTGAAGCCAGCTAACTTGAAAATGGAAGAAAAATGAATTATGTTTGACGAAATGTGTGGTGGCTATCTCAAAACAACAAAAGCTTTATACAGATGAAACAAGTACAAAAATATGAAGTTTACATGATGCTTTCCACCATTATGGCTTGAATAATACCCTGAGCACAAAAAGCAAACAGAACACAATGAAATGACTGACACATCTACACCTGTAATAGATACACCCCGAGTGAGAAAATATTATAAATATATCAACATTATCCTTGTTCCCTAAGGTCATTAATACAGAAACAAGAGATAAATGCTTGATACGTACAGGGATGAACATGTTAATAAATCCCTTCAAAAAGTTACCAACTGGGTATCAAATACAAATAAACACTGCCTTAATTCATGAGATAATTAGGAGATAAACCTGCTGTGTTTTGAAATTTGAGGTCGTCTCACTCTAGATTTGTTACCTATTATTTTTAATATTAACCAAGCACTCAGTAAAATAAACTTAACAGGGATAGAATCTACAGTGAGACACTCAAATATGATAACAAAGTTAGTTTATCTCCTAAATGAATTTACAATTTAGTCTTTCTTGGGCTATCGGACAACTCGAACAATGATTATTTATATTGTTCTTTTAATTCAAATTTTTAATGTGCATGTGAAGCAACAAATACATTGGGCCATATATTAACAGTAATGGCATAAAACCAAACCATAACAAAATACTACATAATACACAGTATTCCAAATGGTAAAAATTGTAAGAATAACACACACCTGGCTATCAACTACTCTTATTATGTTACAAGGCTGGTATCACATGAACATGAGGAAATAAACGGCAACAAATGGACTCAAATACATATTATCCCAGCCTATTTTATGAATGTACAAACTTTGTAGATACCCACTGAGGGTAAGGTAATTTAACAACTAGAAAATCTGGAATCATGACATCATAAAAGGAACTAAACATTATGACATGTTGGTGTTATTTATACACAGAAACAGAAAATATATAACAAAAAATAGCACTGAATAAGTCTGATATATCTTCCTGTACACCCAGGCATATATGTTCACATTCCTCACTTCAAATGTACAGCTTGGATTTGAGGATGGTGTGCTTGGACAATCCTGATTATTCCCCTAGATACAAGAGCCATACCAGCCATGTGTCCACATTACAATCCTGGCATAGATATATATGAAGCTGTGTCTGCTGATGGCAAACAACCAGGAGTTGCATCCCTTAGCTGACAGGATCTAATGACTGGCATTTGAATCCCCGATTACCCCTGATTATCATCCCTGCTCCTGGACATCACCAAAGAGGTAAAGACCTATAACCTGC